AGTGAGCTTCTTTTGACAACAAATATTGTTGTCATATTATGACAACAATAGCCTACGGTGCTTCGTTCAAAAAATTAATAATTCTTACTCCCCTAAGCCCCCGTGCTCCCTCTTTGCCCCATCCCAACAGCACCCTCTGCCCCTCCCCCCCCACCCTCCCACCCAAAACACCGATGGATGTACTAGAAAGCAAGTGCATTAGTAACACTGTAGAATTGGCAATTTGGGGTGGGGTGGGTGGGGGGTAGGGGGGCAGCTGGAATGGGGGGCACGAGGTTTAGGGGGTAGGAACCATCACTCTTTTAAACGGAGCACCGTAAGCCATGTTGTCATAATATGACACCTCTTCTTATTGTCAAAAGAAGGGGGCCGATAAACTATTTATATTTAAATAATAATTACCATAATAGTATTATAACAAAATGAGTAAATCTATACTACTATACAAAAGCAAAAGATTTTGGGAATTAATTTTAAAAAATGAAGAATGAAAAAAAGAATATTTTCCCGCCCATGTTTTAGGAAAATCTAGACTGTATATTACATTTCGTGATAAATCTAGGGCTAGAAATATTCATTGGGATTTACAATAGAACTCAGCCGCCAAGGAGAAATAATTGCAATTATTCCTTAGGACTTGCAATGGAAATTCAGCCGTCAAGGTGAATTAATTGCAATAATGAAGTGCTTTTATTGAAACCTTTGCTCTTCCATTCCTATTTCATTTTCATGTGTACACTGCATCAAGAGAGTCCTTTTGGACTTCTTAAATTTGTATTCCGTGAGAACTGCATTAGAGGAATGCATTCATTTCTTCATTTAATGATGGACCGGCCTTACATACACATAAAGAGTTAATTGGAATCTGGAATTTTTTTTAAAATTTATTTATATAAAGCAGTATACCTGCAGCACAAGGATACATTTATGTATTCGCTCATACTGTGAATGCCTTGATCCTTATCTCCCGTTTTATAATACGTTAGTTTATAATTCGCGTGTATCATATGCCGAGACAATAGAAAGGGATGGAAAGACAAACGTCGTATTTCATGACTAATAGGTATCTTTCCTGAATTATCTCTCTTCAATTTTTGTAATACTCCCTCCGTCCCCAATTTGATTACAAATTGCGGGTTACGGAGTAAAATTTCCTACTTTTTGAAATTATTTTATTTACAAATTGGTATATCAAGAAGATATAAAAATTACATATTAAAAAACTACGTCAAAAGTTCTACAAAACAAGATGTGACAAGAATATTTTATTTCATCAAATACTTAATGAAAATGCGTAAACAAACAAAAGTTATCGAAAGGAGAGAGAAAAAAAATTGTACTACCTCCGTCCTATTTTAAATTGCCTGTTTGTCTTTTTTCTCTGTCCCAAAATAAGTTGCCTGTTAGTTGTTTTCGTAAACTTTTAAGGCTAAAATACCCAAACTACCTCTAAAATAAGTCACTCTTCTCCACTTTATCTTCTCATTCATCGCCATCCCTTCTAAAAAGTATTGACAATTTTGGAAAATTAACTCTATTTTTTATTTTCCTTAAATATGCCGAAAAGTCAAAACAGGCGATTTAAAACGGGACGGAGGGAGTAATCTATTTAGGGACGGAGGGAGTGTGCAATATGCGTTCCTTTGATAGTTTCAAACATTTCAATATTTAGGATCTAAAGTATCTACTCTTTTTAAAGAGAATAGATCTACGATTAGGTAGTGTTTGGCAACTAGCATTTCATTTCAATTCATGCATTTCAATTCCAAAATTTGAAATCCTGAATTTCAAATGACAAGGGGAGGTGCATAGATTTCAAATTAAGCTTTGTTTTGAATGTAAATAATTTGATTCAAATCCAAATTCAAAATGCTTAAGTTTCCCAAACATGGAATTTAAGTCAAATCCAGATTTGAAATCCAAATCCATGTTCCCAAACATACCATTAATGAATTTAAAGCATCTGCTATTTTTTCGTCAATGAAATCTGGAACTCTTGATCTAATCTTGCTCTGTTCACGCAGGAAAGCCGTATCCATGTCCAAATCAAAGAATCCCATATTGAAAAGTACCAAGATTACATCAAAGAGAGAGAAATATATGTTCTAATGAATGTGATAGTTGTGGAGAATTACTTACCTTACAAGACCACTAGACATCCTTATATGTTGCAATTTATGACCAAAACACAGTGCAAGAAGCAAAATGTCTCATGTTTTCCAATTTACTCCCTCCGTCCCTGAGTGTTTGTCCACTTTCATTTTTGCACACCATCCAATGCACTTCTTTAAACCATTTTATCTTGTAATTTATATATTAAAAAATAATAAAAATTATATATTAATAATCTATATGTTAAGACGAATCAAACAAGATCACACATGACTATTTTTAGGCTTATACATTCTGAGAATTTGATGAGTCAAAGTGTTTAGATGAACAGTTCTAAAAGTTAAAAGTGGACAAACACTCAGGGACGGACCAAGTATATGTTTGATTTTGCAACATTAGACTATCTACAGCAGCAATCAAGGCTTGATGACAAGTTTCTAATAGGTAATGACTTAATCCTTCCTTTTTTTACCTTAAGAGTTTGTATAAAATTTGATCTTTGGAAAACCAATTTTGGTAATAGTGTTGACATAAATGAAATGCTTATTGCACACTAAATTTGATTTATCAATTATGTATTCAGATGTTGAACGAATACAATGCTCATTATATGGTAAAGAAAATTTAAAAATTTAAAAATGTAATTATGAATTAAAAATGGGTATGAATATGTAACACTGAGTAATACTCCGTATATTATATCAAATGATTATATAATGAGGAAGCTTTTTAAAATCTTTCTTTGGAAGCTAAAAAAACCGCAATTCTTAATTTATATTTATTTCTTGGAGTCAAAATAAGTAAAGGTAGAGTATAATTATTTTTTTACCTCTTCATTTAATTTTGATATTATTTATATTTATGTATGAAAATTTCTCAATATTATCATAAAAACAAAATCATTCATTAAATAAATGATGAAAAAACGTAGATAATAGCTTACCGATCATTCATACACCACCACCGTACACTACCACCATTAATTTATATAGCAGTCTACAGACATTAAAAAACAAACAGTCTTCTTCTTGCAGACCGCAGACCTTCGGTCCACCACTTCTCCTGCAGATGTCTACAGTAGTGATCCGCAGAGTGCAGACCTTTTCCTGCAGAAAAAACAAACACCCCCTTAATCTACTCTTTGATTAAGCAAGAGTTCTTAATTTTTAAATGTTTAAGCAATGAATTCTGTAATCATTTTTCTTACAATTTTTTAATGTAAAAGAATATTTGATCTCATAAATTTCATTGTATAATATTTTCATATATTAATATATACTAAAGTATAAAATCTTAACATAATTTCATATTTTTATTATATAACAAACTTTTGTCTGTGCAACGCACGGGTATGATTCTAGTGATAGACAAAATCATAGTAATGGGTTATGTATACTTACCTCACCAAACCAATGCTCTGAAAATCGAAACGGACGTCGACCTGGGCGAACCGGTCGATCCGGGAGTCAACGACCCATCAACTATAATTAAAGTAAAAATATTTTTTATTATAGTAATAGAAATTTTTAATTAATAACAAATTTTAATTTGTGTGTTTTTGCTCTTCTATCTAGTTTATAATATCATTTTGCATATACCATCACACTTTCTTTTTTCTATTTGTTTTAATTTTTATTAAGATTAAAGATAAATAATGAATATCAAATAAAGGCCAAGTAATGTGTTTTTGTATAATACTATGCACTTCGTAGGTAAAACTTCAGACTTATATATAGTTGATTGAAACACGAAATATGAAGAAGTAAAAATTATTTTTAATATATCAAAGTAAAATTAATAAATAATTCTTAATTTTTATTGAGGACAATAATTTTTAGGTATAAGTATTCATATGTATGCATAAGAGATCATTGCCTCGTGCGTCTTTTATAACGTGATTGTGTGAGACTTAAGAGTTTGACATCACAAGTTCGGGCATAGTGGTATGGACATTGTATTTAGGTTTTCGAGTACCACCATCATCTAGTTTCTAGTCTCATTCATGAGACTAAGATGGCGTGAGTTCGTCATACAAATTGGGCGATTCTTATAGCGCAATGGTCGTCTTTGCACAGTTAGTTTTATGCATCATGTAATCATCATCAAGAATGATGATATGCTATAATGCGCCATATCATGAATATTCTCATACATTTATGTGGACGATATATATGTATGTGTATATGTCTGTGAAATATTCTGTAATTCTAGCGTGGTACCACTCAACGATTTTGTTGGGCGTTTAGTTTATATTTTTCGTTAAAATTAAAACTTTGTTTCTTAAGATTTCAAACTTCTGAGTTTTAGTCTTGTTTATGGTTGAATTCAGGTTTTGCAGAGCGTGAAGTTTGTATTTTTCGTTGATTACACGTAGGTAACAAGAGGACAATGACGGAACCACTCTCGGAGGACATTGAGACAGAGGAGATGCAGGGATTGCATGCAAATGTTTGATTATCAATATTTTAATTGTGTCATGATTTGATTATTATTGTAATTCGCTTTACTCTAAAAATATTTTTAAATGGGTCGCGATCCAGAGTCTATAAATTAACTTTTAGAGTATATATCATTTTCAAATGTCAAATGAAATTTTATTTAGCTCCATTTCACCTTAATACATATAATTTCGAGTTATACGAATTAGGATGTAACAACAAAGATGATTTAAGTGTAGATGAATCAGAAATAATATTTTATTTAAATAATCATTTATTTGAATTTTAATTTTTTGCACATGAATATATGAAAAAATTACTAACATTAGAAATACCATTTTGTTATCATTCACTCTCTTTTATTTGTGAAATATTAAACATTTCAACGAAAAATACAATTGTAATACTTAGAAGTATAAACTAAACTAAGTTTTATAAACATTTCTTGCATTTAATTATTCATTTTTCAATTTTTTATCTCTCTTTATTTCAATGTACTTTTGATTTTTTTTTAAATAAAAAGTTTTATACTCTCTTTGATGTTTGTGTTTACGATGTTTGACCGACTTTATTTTTGATTTAATTTATTTAAATAAAATTACCATCGCAACCCTTACCCAACCCAATCTGCAGACATCATCGGCTCAATTCTGCAACCCTAACGCAAAGCACACACTCTAGTGACTCTACCCTTCACTCGCCGCACGGGATTACCTGATACGAACGGAGTGTGGAATTCAGGGAGAGGGGACCTAACGGCAACGATAACGCGCAGGCGAGTAGAATTGCGGCGCTGTAGAATTGGGAGGTTTGTTTCTTAAGATTTCAAACTTCTGAGTTATAGTCTTGTTTATGGTTGAATTCAGTTTATAATATAAGTTCTAATGTTTTCTTCTAACTTTATGTCTATTTTTATTCATTTTTGGGGAAGTTGTGCTTTTGGTTTAGTGGGTTCTTGATATTCAATTTTTTTGGGTTTAATTTTGATTTTTTTTCGATTCATTTTTGCTGATATCCGTAGAAGGTTTAGTGGTGGGTCTCTATTTTTTTGTCACAGGATAACAATATTTAAATTAACCTTATTTACTCAATGCGAATTTATTTTGTCTAAACTAAAAAAGGTTAAGGTTAAATTTAAGAGGTTATTTTTATAATACAAAAAGTGAATATGTTCATGATGGATTTTAATCCACTGGGATAACTAAATGTGGAAACCTAATCTGTAAAAACCATTTAGGTGGTACCATGCCAATGTTTTATTACGTCTTTGGGAGAGTATTTATGCAATATGTATGACTGGTAGCCATTAATTGAACATAAGAGCTATGTAGTGTATGAGAAAGATGATGAATAGTAAGAGAGAGATAGAGTATGTTTGTAGTCTGTATATGGAATGTGTTTCCATAGATGAATGTATCCCTCTCTTTAGCATGGCAGTCCAGGATTAGGATTTCCATGGTCTTTTCTTCATGGGCCTTCTATTATAGGTATTCTATCTGTACATGTTGTTGGCTTTATGTGATTATTTTGTCAGCAAAGTACCAATCTCATCATGATAAACAACAATGCAAAAGAAATGGAGATTCAATGGACTGAATTTAATATTAATTGAATCTAAAAAGATTGAATAGATTGAGATTAAATATTTGATTGATGATTTTGCATCTAAGTGTATGGGAGTGAGCTTCTCTTTTAATATAAAGTTTTCTTTATGTTTTTATTATGCCAGAAAGGTTTAATAGATCTTTCTTATAATAACTTATATTTTAGTTGCTCTTACATTAAATCAAGGGTCCAACATTTCTAACTCGCACGGGCCCCAAATATAGTAGGGCCGGCCTTGCTAGTGTATTTGTACACCAAACCGTTGTTGCATTCGATTCTTTATGGTTTGTTTTATAGCATGTCACCTGTAACCCCTACAGTCCTTTTGGATTTATGCAGGGTGACTGGAGAAGCAAATATTCACTTGGATGCCCACGGATATCAGAATGGCTAAGCGCGAGCTATCCAGTACTTTGAAAAATTTGAAGGTAAAGATAAATTTGACACCTAGAAGAATGAATGTTTGTGAGATTATTTTTAAAAGCCATACAAAAATTTGATATTCCTGCTCTACTGTGTTTGTGTGTTTTGAGAATTGAGTTATTTTTATGGCAGACAAGGTACATTAACTTGTGGATTCTTTAGCTTCAAGATAGTATTTTTTATTATTGAGATGTGGAATTCTCTAATGAAAGTTGGGGTGTCCTTTTATTATAGTTTATGCAAAGGGCATCCAACAACAAAGAGGAGAAAGCTAAGGAGGCCGAGGATGTATTGCCTGATGGTATCTTCCCTTCTTTGACTGCTCCCAAAAGATGGTACGAGTAATTCTCTCTCCTGCATGTCTATGAAAAGTTTTATTCGATATTATTGTAAACAATAAAATCTCAACTTATCATAGTACTTGATATTTCACTTCTAGCTAGTTTCCTCCTAAAGGCTTATATCTGCATCAAATTCTTATTCTTTTTAGTATCCAGCATTTACTTCTCTCTGTCTCTTAGTTTTGGATAGTTGCATAAGGAGATCAGGTTTCATGGGGTGGTGGGCCAATTGGGGGATTTTTTTGACACAGAACTGTACCTTAACTTCTTATATAAACGTCCTGTTTAAGTGTTTAACACGGGAAGTAGTAGATTGGAGTTATTATCTATGTGTTCTGTGCTATGCTATGCCATTGAGGACAAGTGCAAGATTAATGAGTATGGCGGTTCCTCTTCTTTTAGAAGCAATACATGATTACATGTTTACATGGTAAGAGTTTTGAGCTCTGGCTGGGCATATGAGAAATTTGAAGACAGAAAAATCATCTCTTAACAAGTCTGGATAGCAGGCTTCGTTTTCACCGTACATGACCATAATGGAAGGACTGTGATAGTATGGCTAAATGTGGAACTTGGATATTGGATTACCCATTCTTTAGATGCAATGCAATCTTTAAAAATCACAGCATTTAGAATTTTGTTTAGTACTCCGTATTCTAGTCCTTGAGTTTTTGGGGTACTCAATATCAGAAAGAGCAAATTTATTTATGCTCTTTCTGATACCAGGATGAATGTTTGGGGCACTTGAGTTATCCATGATCACAGATGTGTTCTGATTTGTTCCCATTATTTCAATTCCCCTTTTTGGTGCTTAGATGAAACTTCAACGACTTTCCAATTTCAGTGTTGTTATTATGGAAGGAGATCCTCATCCTGGAGCAATAAAGGGCAGGATGTCATTTCAAAATTTTAACCCTGCTATTGATGTAAGTATAAGTACTTGAAATAATTTCAATATGTGTTAGCCTATTCACTTCTAGTGTCTGTCTGTATGCTTACATGCACTGGTTTTTATAGAAATTAAATGAAGAAGAGCTAAAGCTTAGCAAACCAGAAGCCTCTGTAACTTCTTCCGGAACTACGAGTGAAATAATTTCTAATAGGTAACTTCATGTCTTAAGGTTAACTACAAACACAGTTTGGTGATTATTGCTTGATTATTATTAAACAATTTTTTATTCATAATATATTAAACTAGAAAAGCTTCTACATACTAAAATATTGCAGTATAATAGTATAATTTTTTCGACTTAAAGTCTAAATATGGTTATGATTAATTGATTGCTGGTATGGCACTTTAAGTTCCCAAACTCTTTGACTAATTAACTTTCAGTATTACATTTCACCTTAAAACTTGCCTTGCTAAGCTGTCATAAGCATCACATAAATCGGGCAATGAACTAAAGGATTCAAAGTTCATGAAAGATCTATTCTTGAGGAGCTGAAGTGTATGTGGTATTTATTTGGCCAAGTAGTATCTCATTGCTCTTTATAGGTTTGTAGCTCTACTTACCTATAATATGAGATCGCTTTAGCATTCTTATCCCAAGGTTTTTTTCTTCTGATTGCTCCAGAGAAAATGGGTCGACTAAAGATGGAGCTGAGAACTCAAAAGTCAACAACAAATCAAGCACCAATGCAAAGGGAGATAACAAGAGGAAGCAAGACGGTGTCTCGGATGTTCGTTTGCCGAAAAGGACACAAAAAAATGGGGACGATCACAAAGGGCCGTCGTCAAGTGGCAAGAAAAAATCCCAGAAATACCCCCCAAGATGCGAACAAGGGGCTTTCAGTGTCCTTGTGCCACCAAAGCATCAAAATAAAAAACATTAGGTAAAGGCTGATGATTCTTTTGCTCTTGGATAATTTGCTTCTAGTCAATGATAGTGTGTTGTTGTGTTATAAGCTGTGTTGACAGCCCAAAATGGGTCATTTTTCTTCACTTCTTACACCTTTTTAAAGTTTTTTTTGTCGACCATCATCATTATAATGTATCTTGATTGTTAATGAAATTTGTCATTATGCAAAAGCTATATATAACTATTATGTTCTCAACTTTCATATATTCTCCTGGGAGTTTCTTTGATACTTGTGAACCATCACCATCATCATCACCATCATCATCATCATCTCATGATAAGTTTAACCAAAGAGGTTCATAATAATCATTGACTTGAACAAACGAATTTGGATTAAAACGAAGAAATTTCAAACACATGAAGCACATTCTCTTTTCCACACGCCTAAAAGATTGCCCCACCCAATGCAATAAATTTCTCCTTCCTAAATTTCTTACCCCACTCAAACTTATCTTTAAGTGTACCCAAAAAATATCACCCTCAATTATTTATCAATTGATATTGAGATTTAGGGAGCATATCCAGACAAATACTCCGTATAAATTCTACAGAAAATAATAATACGTTATTTGACACTATTGTTTTAACAAACTACTCTCTCTGTTCACCATATATCTTCCCAGACACTATTCACAGGATCCCTCTGTCCATCATAGATCTTCCCAGATACTATTCACAGGATCAAACTTTACTCACTTTGTTTGCTCATTTTTACTAGTCATTTCGTAAAATAATATAGTCTTGTCACCTCTAGTTTTGTAGAACTTTTTATTTAGTTTATTACTATATAAATTTTATTTTAAAATTTTACTCCTATAATCAATTAAATTGAATTGAAAATAAAGCTTTCGTAACGGGAAGATCTTAGGTGGACGAAGGGAGTATTTGTTAAAACATGTCTAGAAATAAATTAAAATTTGATCCCAAGTCCATTTCAATTTTTTTAACAAAATTTTACGGAATATAAATATATAATAAATTATAATTTGATCCCAAGGTTTTATCTCGCATTCAACGCCCAACAATGAACAATGTTTGGATTTCGTCCCTGAGACGCAACCCAATCCCGAGCTTGAAACCGAGTGTGACCCTGAACCCGTGTGTAGAGGGCGTAGGCNAGTCTTGAAAGCGGCCAACACAAAGTAGACGAATGAGGAGGAGATTGCCCTTGCCCGGGCATACATTGACACATCTGAGGACCCGATCATCGGTATATTTAGCTCTACTTTACTTTTTTGCCAAACAAAACCAGTTTTCATTAGTCCATTATAAACAACTTACATGATACTAACAGAAATTTACCCTGATTTTCTAGGCCGAAACCTAACCTCTAACGACTTTTCCAAGGAGATGGGTCGCGCTGAATATCAGACGAGGGACAAGATCTCCGGTAAATGGCATGACATGCAGGCAAATTATGCTTGGGCTAGTATGGGCGCGCCGTGGGTTACAAAAAGGGCGTTAAAATGCCCATGGTTTCTAAAAATAGCACACATGCCCCCTTACCTATTTTTAAAGCAAAAATGTCATTTATGCCCTTTCTTTTCCTCAATCTTGAATTTTCTTAATTTTATTTTTCTTTATTATACAAATATATAAAATAAAATATACAATTCCCATCTCAAATTAAAATTTTCCATAATGTATTTTTGAAAACAAGATTTTTTGGAGAATGTACAAAGTAAAAATAATAATTCGTATAATGTAAAGAAAGAAAAATATAAAAAAAGGTAATGAAAAGAAAGAAAAATATAAAAAACAATCTTTTTCTTTAAATCCGTATTTTGTTTCACTTTTCTGTTCTTTATTTTTTTAAGTCCTTAAGAAATTATTTTACATTTAAAAAACAAATAAGTTAAAATATTTAGTTAGAGATAGATTGAGTATATGTTATCTAATTTTTTATTTTATTATTTTACTTTTACTTATAATGAAAAAGTGTATTTTATTTCATTTCATTTTCTTTTGTAACATTTTCTAAAAAAATTATTTTTTTGAAAATTAAATAAATGAAAATTTTTAATATAAGAGAGAGGGCGTATATTTTATTTTATTTATTTGTATAACAAAAAACGCAAATAAAAGAGTAAAATAAAGGGCAGAAATGTCATTTATGTCTAAAAATGGGCAAGAGGGAGCGTCTTTGCACTATTTAAGAACCACAAAGGTTTTACAAATAACTTTTGAAAGTAGAGAGATTTTTGGCGTTCAATCCGCTATTACCCATCCATTCATGCTTGCACCGTTAACTAGCATCAACACGTGGCATCCCGTTCCGAAACTTCAGTTTTTGAAATGCGCCAAAATTGATTCCTCCACCGACAGCAGTTAGGGTCATTTGTCTTCAAGAGTGCACATTAACTTGAGTGACTCCGACGATGAAGAGGAAACGTTGTTCAGGCCTCCCCCCCCGGCGAATAGTTTCTTTTGTGAGGGAGATTGTGAAATAAAAGAAGGAAACCATTATGAACATATTGGGACTAGAGTAGTTTTTTAATTGCTTTAATTTATTTTTTCCTTTGAATATTTAAATATGTGCTTTAAAAAATTTAATTGTCATTTCATTATTTAATTTACAATTTTATTATATTAAAATTGGATAGTGTGAAAAAAACTAAAAAAGATCATTACACAACTTTATTTTTCAAAATAATAAAGTAATTTCGTTTTAATTTTTAAAATTTAGAATATAAAAAGAAATAGAATATACTTCATAGCATTAACGTGGTCTACCATTTTTATAATGTTTTACCTATTTTTATTTATAGCATTTGGAAAATGAACATGTATAAGAGCATCTCCAACCATGCTTGTTATATAAATTTGCTATTTTTATATTACAGCAAGTAAATAGTGATATTTAAATATGTGCTTTAAAAAATTTAATTGTCATTTCATTATTTAATTTACAATTTTATTATATTAAAATTGTATAGTGTGAAAAAAACTAAAAAAAGATCATTACACAACTTTATTTTTTAAAATAATAAAATAATTTCGTTTTAATTTTTAAAATTTAGAATATAAAAAGAAATAGAATATACTTCATAGTATTAACGTGGTCTACCATTTTTATAATGTTTTATCTATTTTTATTTATAGCATTTGGAAAATGAACATGTATAAGAGCATCTCCAACCATGCTTGTTATATAAATTTGCTATTTTTATATTACAGCAAGTAAATAGTGATATAACAATCATTTTTTAATTTCATTCTCCAGCCATAATTTACTATTTTATTTTTTAAGTATTAGCTTGCTAAAATTTGAGGGGTTTGTCATATCTAGCAAACCAAAGTCATATTTTAGCAAACTTGCTAAAATAAAGCACACCCCTTGGAGAAGAACAAAAGTGTTTAGCTATAACTTTTAGCAAGTTAAAATGTTATGGTTGGAAATGCTCTAAATAGATGAGGCAAAAAGCTAATTTAGTTTGTTAGCTAAAAATTAGCACGCCCATTAGATATTTAATTTTAGGAGTGTTCCTCTGTACTAGAGTTTAATATATTGGCTTATTGCAGATAAGCAGTTTTTAACATATAAGATGTTTATAACTCATATATTCTTTCGTGGAAGTAAAATGACTTAAATGATAGATAAATCATTTGTAAATATTCGTAAATGGTGAGAGACAACTTTATAAATAATCTGGTCAAAATGGAGAAACAAAAAAAAGATGTCTAAAAAATAAGTGCGTGGTTAAGATCTAATGATTTTTTCTAGTTTATAAGTAACTTATAAACATACAGAAACATGTCATTAGCTAACTTATAAGTTAAAAACTGTTTATAAACAGTTTTGATCAACTTATAAATACTGAAATGTAAACCTTCTATATTTTAGCATTTGGTTTCTCATAGCTCTGCCCTTAAAATTTAGCCACTCAAAAAAAGGACCCATTCAAAAAATAAACAAATGGACGAGGCTAAATTTCGTTTATCTCCTACGCCTTACTTTTTGGTACTGGGAACAGCTGGTTTCTGATTTGGCGGTTACGTATCGAGATTTGGGAGTTGCACTCTACTTCAACGAAAAACCAACTACGTGGAGTATCACTATTCTTCTTCTTCTTCTTTGCTCAAAACGAAGGCTATCTCCATTTAATCTTGAAGATCAAACCTTCTATCCCCTGAATTTTTATTGTTAAAAATACTCTTTCCCCACATTCATTTTCTTTCTCTTTGGTATTGTTCCCTGTTCTATTGGATTGAAGCAGATAGCAAGAAAGGTTGCAAATTAAGGATATGGGATTCCTAAGCACTTTCTTGGGGATTATTGGGTGTGGGATTGGTTTCCCAATTGGTCTTTTCATTGGCTTCTATTTCTTCATCTACTCCATGCCTCAAGAGATTCAGGTAGGTTGGTATTTTGGTCCTCATATATTTTGTTCTTATAGCAATGCTGGTTTTATTTTGCTGCCCTTATTAGATTCTTGGGTATTTATTTATTTATTTACAAAGGTTTTTGCTTTGATTACCAATTGTACATTTAAAGCTTGAATCTTGATGCCATTTCTGACCATATGACTTGATTTTTCAAATCATTTTGTAATACTCGTAATAGTAATTGATAATCAGCTCTAAGCCTCTCCAAAAAAAAAGAATTTTTTTAATTTGGAAATTAAATTCTCTCTTTTCATAGAAGTAGAATAAGACAAGCACTGTTCTGGGCAATTTGATCTTTCCCTGTTTGCCTCTTTCTCGTATTGGTGCAGAACTTCTAGTCCACAATATGTTTGTGATGGGGATTTATTTTCTTGAAACAAGTATGGGTTGATGATCTGCTTATATTAAGGTTCCTATGTTTTAATCCCAGGTTCGTGGGAGACTACCGGGTTGTTGCTGTTGTATATTAGTTCTTTGATTGAAGTAAATGGTTGCAGGTTGTGAGTATAGACTTCCCAATCAAACAAATTTAACAGAACTAGAGGGAGGACATTTATGATCAAGATTAAATGACAAACAAAATTTTACATGCCATTTCAATCTATTCTAGGGAATCATGATGTATTTCTGAAATTCTTTTCTTTTGAGAGAATAAATTCCAAACGCATGGATGGCATTCTCGATATGAAATCTTAAGAATACTTAAAAGTCGCCTGTGATTGCAGGACCCAAATATCAGGCCTCTCTTTGAGCTTGAGACTGATATATTGCAAAATCTTATTCCTGAGATTCCACTTTGGGTTAAAAATCCAGACTATGATCGAGTACGTGGATCCTTATTTTACTCAAGTGAAACACATACACTCTTTTCATCTCAACGATTTTTGCTTCAGAAATTTTAAGGCACCTAATAAAACCTCTCTGGCTGTTCAATATGCAGGTTGACTGGTTAAACCAATTTATACTTGAAATGTGGCCATTTCTTGACAAGGTATATGCATACGCTGCAAGACTGCATCCTCCTTTTAACACAGAATTTGGAAATGAAGAAAAATGACACGTTTTTTTACATATCAAGACATCGGGTTCCATTCTAAGAGGTCAAATTGATACGAGTAGTCCAAGACATTTGTTCAATGTGGGATGACTTTACCATCGGAGTTCAGTTTTTTCTTTAAATGCCACTTATGCAGTCTGTCTAACATATATAGGCTATTTGTAGCATTATCCGGAGCACGTGCGAGCCTATGTTTGCAGACTACATAGGGAAGTATATGGTAGAGAAGATTGAGTTTGAGAATCTTACTCTTGGAACTCTTCCACCAACCTTTCAAGGCATGCTTCTGCTTCCCTCTATATATGTTGCATATGATCTCAACTCTCAAGTTTTTTGTTGTATTAAACACATGCATTGACAGGTTTAAAAGTGTATGAGACAAATGAAAAGGAATTAGTGTTGGAACCATCCATAAAATGGGCAGGAAATGCAAATGTTATTGTCTCAATAGAGCTATTATCCGCCCGAATCAGACTCCAGGTTTGTAAAAACAAGAGATTGCTTCCTCTTTATAAGAATAAGAATGTACATTTTTGTTCGAAATACTGTACACTACGTTTGGTTCAAGGAATTTGAAAGGGAAAATAAAAGAAAATGAGATGAAAAACAATTTTCCTTGTTTGGTTGGAGAGGAAAAGAAAAGAGAAGTCGAAGGCAAAGAAAATAAGAAGGCAAAATGTATTAAGAGGAGGAAAAACATAATTTCTTCCATTTTGGTAAGGAAAATGAGAGAGCATCATTTTCTTTTCTTTCCCTTCAAAATTCCACGAACCAAATACAGTGTAAAGAGAAACATTTTTCTTTAAAGTGTTACTTATGCTTCTTCTCAGTTGGTGGATTTACAATTTTTTGTGCTGCCGCGAGTTACTCTGAAACCTCTTGTGCCAACAATTCCATGTTTCACAAATATTATGGTGTCTTTGATGGAAAAGGTAAGCAAAATGTTACAGTTTCTTGGTGATCTGACGATAGAGAATCAATAGAACAAGTAATATGTGTTTTGCTGCAGCCACACGTTGATTTCGGATTTAAAGTTCTTGGGGGAGACTTCATGGCAATTCCAGGCCTATATCGATTCGTTCAGGTGTTTCATTCTCCATTATATTTTGGGATTTTGTTGATCTTTCATTTTTACATGGCAAGCTGTAACATAACATTAGTGTTTTGTTTTTCAACAGGAAACTATCAAAAAACAGGTGACAAAACTGTACCATTGGCCCCAAACTCTTGAAATACCAGTTCTATCCCCAACATCGTAAGCAAATTCGTTCAAATATTTCCCCATTTTCAAAACAAACATGTTTGCTAACGCCATATTTTCCATCACTCATAGAGTGACCATGAAGAAGCCGGTTGGAATATTGCATGTAAGAGTGGTCAGGGCTGCGAAACTCCTGAAAAGGGACTTGTTGGGACTATCTGATCCATATGTCAAGATACGGTTGAGCGGAGACAGGTTTCCCGCCAAGAAAACATCCATCAAGAAGAAAACACTGAACCCCGAATGGAATGAGACTTTCAAGCTTACTGTGAAGGACCCACAGACCCAACTTCTCAACCTTGATGTCTTTGATTGGGACAAGGTTTGCCTCTTACCTATTGCTATTTCCACATATTTGCTCCCAAATAGAGCCTTAGAATCAATGCACATTTTAGATGCAAATATCATTGTTTATCACGAGATCTTCACAAAAGCATGCGTGTATGATTGTTTATCATTGACTGTGGCCTAGTTTGAGAACAATATTTTCAGTTACCATTTTGAAAAATTGTTAATGGTGCAGATTAACTCTGAAAATGCTAAAACTTAACGTTGTTCTTAGATAGTCTTGTCAATATTCTAAAGCTAAATGCTAAAGTTTTTGCCCAAAATGCTAAAGCTAAAAAAGTTGTCATTAGATAGTCCTTATTCATAATCTTTGGCCCATATTTATATACATGCATATAGGTAGGCGGACACGATAAACTTGGGAAACAAGTATTTCCTTTGAAAAACCTGAAACCGAACGAGACAAAGGAGGTGACTCTAGACCTGCTAAAGAGCACAGACATAGACAACGATCTTGACAAGAAGAAGCAGCAGCAGAGAGGGAAACTTGTGGTTGAGTTGACATATGCTCCTTTTCGAGAAGGTAGCGAGGGGCTTAGTGGTCATTTTGGAAGTTTCAATTCATCAAGCAGTGAAGTTAATTCAACCACGAGATCAGCAGGCTTGTTATTGGTCACCATCAAAGGAGCTCAAGATGTTGAAGGCTCTCGTCACAACAATCCCTATGTGGAGATATTCTTCAGAGGTGAAAAGAAAAAATCTAAGGTAAAGTAGTAGTAAACAATCACATTCTTTTCTTCTTTTGTTTTTTTTTTGAAAAAAAAAGAAGTATTTGCGTTCTTTCATAAAAAAAACTTGGTTTGATTGAAATTAGTGAAGCAGGTAATGCGGAAAGCGCGTGATCCACAATGGGACGAAGACTTCCAGTTCATGGTTGAAGAGCCTCCAATGAATGAGAAGATTCACCTTCAGGTCATGAGTAAAAAGAAAGTCTTTGGCTTTAGATTCTTCAAGGTACAATATATGCCCTTAAAAAAAATCCTGCAACCACATTATTCGTCCACGAATGCTTTAGAAATATATATTTATGAATCTATTTATACATTATTAGGAAGCACTGGGGCATGTGGACATAAACCTTGATGATGTGATCCACAACGGGAGGATAAACGAGAAGTACCACCTTATAGACTCAAAGAATGGAATCATACATGTCGAATTGGGATGGAAAACCATATGACTGTAATGCATGAATCACACAACATATATAGAACAAAACTGTGTGAAAATGTAAAAACCATACATTATAGCTTGTACGTTAGTGAACCACACGATGACGGATGACTATACGTAGAAATTTTTCCTTTTCATTTTTTTGTTTTGTTTTGTGTTGTATTTATAGATGCTGGGATGCATTCTTCCCTTGTTGTATCTCTATACGAATTTGTTGTATTTACGCAAACACCGAGCAAGTTTGTTTTTTTTTTGTGTGAAAAAAAAACATAATATATATATGTACATGTGTGATGTGTCTGTATATATATTGTAATATAGATTGTTCTTGGGTTCTCTTGACTTGGACAAATATAATTGTCAGGAACTCAACTCGGGTCTATCTTTCTTTTGCATTACAAATATATATCATGCTTGTAAAGTGTACATGTAGATAGTTTCTGTGTGAGCAAAAATGGAGTTTGGAACTTGAGACACGGGGTTCAAATGGAGTTTGCACCCCTTATCAACTAGTAGTGCCACGCCTTCCGGCTGCACAGCATAGTCGAGATTTCTTGAATCTCATCACCTCATTTGAACCTCGTGTCTCAAGTTCCAAACTCCATTTTTGCTCACACGGAAACTATCTACATGTACACTTTACAAGCATGATATATATTTATAATGTAAATGAGTTTTTTCTTTGAAAAGTATGCAGTAATACATGAAGGTTTTGATGCCATGACCCTCAAAGGGATTTTTTTTAAATGATTTCTTATAAAATGGAATGGACTAAAAGACATGTTTTTCAAGAGTTTTGGGAGAAAGCATCTACACTTCAACTATCTTTCATTTTACAATCAACAATCTCCGTTCTTATTAATTAGTTTGAACTCAGAGTGTCACTTTATCACTATGTTTGGTTCAAGGAGTTTGGAAGAAAAGAAAAGAAATCATTTTGTTGAATATTACCTCTTAGTTATTGATCTAATTTGTTTTTTTTAAAATTTAAATTGGATGAACATTGAGCAATATTTACATGAAAAATTACATTATACAGAGTATATTGTTACGTAGTAAAAAATGATTTCATTATATTTTTAAAGTTCGCCCAATTTGATTTAAAAATTTTTGAACTGGATAAATGCTCAAAACTGTGGGAGTACTTTTTTCATCATACCAAATATTATTTTTGTGTGTGATATTTTTTCCTAAATCCAAACGTAGTATTTAGTAAAAGAGATATATGTTGCTTACTTCATACGGAGTACTTTCTAAGCTCAATACCCATTAGACATTTTGCTTTTCTTTCATTTCCGTGGAAATTTGTCTATCTAAAAAAGGATAGCCCCATCCTCGAGCATCCCTTCAGACCCGGCCGGACGGTCGATAAAATGATGTAAATTAGACTTTAATCGCTGATTGGTAACAAAGAATGGAGCCATGGTACATGCGAGATGGGCGTAGTATCTCTTATCAATGGGCGGCTTGTGTATTTACTCCCAAGTAGATTTAAAAGATGCAAATGGATACTCCGTTCCAATTTAAACCACTTGTTATTTACGAAAAATGATTGCAATTATTTTATTTGTCACATGAGTAGTGAAAATACGTATAAAAAGAAGTCGAAATTTGACTTTCTAAATAATGAAATGCAACTTAAACTTTTAAGCCTTTTTTTGATATATGTACACTTTTACACACAAGAGGCCTTAAGTTCATCAATGAGAAAACCCTATCACCTCCACATTGACCCAAACACAAGACCTCCCATGTGTGAAGTGTGTGAAAACTTGGCCACTCCAACTTGTCATTTAAACATTTTCCTAATTTACTGTTGGTAAAAAAGGACATTTTTTGGTAGCCACAAGAATGGTAAAACAGAAATGAAATATAATGAGCCATTCGACAAAACTCGGCATACAACTATACCAACTACTGTATATGATTTGCTGCTGCTGTTTTCAAAGAATTGGAAAGGTGATAAATTACCATGGTCAACACCAGAAGAATTTTGCCGACGCCCATTTCATTTGCCATCATTGGGCTTTGTAATTTTCTTCTACTGTTAATGGCGATTGTGCATCGGGCAGAGAAAAAAACCGGCTTTCACCAGAAGAACCATTTCTTTTTTATGGAGGAGGTACTTCCAGTTGCCTCATTGCCCTTCCTTCTACTATCCATGCCCTGCTTCAGAGACTCCAGCCTTTTTCTGTAGAAGAAGAGTCAAGCACACCACTTTAATTGCACATACCAGCACAATACATCTAAATTATTCGGCCATATCCAACGGTGTCTTTTTCTTGGGTTTATCTAAAAACGGCCTCCACTATTGAGTGAGTGAAGCGATGGTTTATCGTGATTACAATCCAGTTTTTTGGAGAAAAATTGTGTTTAGTTTGTCTTCCTTCTTTCGCCACTATCTATGCCGAATTTTGGAACTTGTCTTAGTTTGTTTTATAACACACACAAGTCAACAAATTGCTGAGCTCATTGTGATCACTATTTCTCAACAAATTTTCACACAATAATACTCCTTCCGTCCCAAAAATATGGTCACTTCACGTGAAACAAGCAAATTTTCAAGTTTTTTCAATTCATTTTATTTAAAGATTGGTATAGAAATAAAAAATAAAACTTATATATTTAAAAACTACGTCAAAAGTTCTACAAAACAAGAAGTGATAAGAATATTTTATCTTATCAAATAATCAATGAAAACATGCAAACAAACAAAAGTTCCCGTGATTTTTGAATAGTGAAGTGTGACCTTTTTTGGGACAGAGAGAGTATATACTACTACTGCGAGTGAATCAGTGGTGTGACAAACTTGTTTGACGAGTAAATGTTGTTGAGAAGATTTATAGAATGAGCTAAAAATTTTCCTGTTGAGTTGGGAACTTTGTTTCGGTTAACTGTGCATTTCAGATGCCCTTGAGATAACAAACAAATATGGTTATCAATTGATCAACTTTTAGAGTGGATGTTTGATAATGTTTGCTTACTTGGTATCTGTAAGACGGCCATGGAGACTCCACCTCTGTCGAAATCCTTCCATGCCCTCAACACCACTTGCCAATATTAAGCGCCTAAATTAGGAGAAAAAAAATTTTAGTCGCAAGATCACGATCCGGCACTTTTCAGACCAAAACAATCAGTATCAAATAACATTGTGGGGGAAAGGACAATGAACTATTGCCTAGATTTACACCATTCAAAAAATATATTCCACGTTGTATGTCATTTTCCACCAAGAATCCCCCCCCCCTAAATGTTCCAGAGTTTTGGCTCTGGGAGACCGGGACAAAGGGTACAGCCTTTTTTTATATGAAGTTGCAATTTAAATTATAATAAACACAACCCGATAAATTGTAGTCCACTTTATAGTACCTCTCTAGTGATGTAACTTCTGATTCTAGATGGGTTGCTCGTTCTTTTGCTTTCTCTAGAGGCATTGACAAACCTAATTTAAGCTCACTATCTTGAAGCCGTTGTCTGAGCACCTTATCCTACACAACAGAACTATAAATCAAACCACAACAACACGCACTAAGTTATTCTAAAACAAATCATCATAAAAGAGGAATAACATTATGTATCGATCAAGATTGTGTTATGGAATCCCAGCCAAGACTCTTAGAGCCGTGTAATTTCATCTATAAAATCATGATTTTATAGAAGCTGGATCAATGAATAAAAAAAGAAAACCAATATTTTGAGTAATAATAATAAATGTATTTATTGTCTTCCTCACCCGTTTCTCTGCACATTGTTGATACATGACAATCTCATCCTGGCAAAATGGTTCAATATCATTGACTTGTAAGCCTACAGCACAAGAGTTAATTGGGCAGATTTGATATGGGAAAGAACTGTAGAATACAGATGCAGGCTAGGAGTCCCTTACATAGGAAAAGATTCCTTAAGAGTTTCTCACATGTATCAACACCTTCAAGAACATGAGACGCTATCTCCGGTGGAATCGTTGGTGATGGTAGGCCCATCATTAGGTCATCACCCACCAGGATAGTTTCATCCATTGTAGGTTCAGCATCGACTATATGAACATGGCATAATAATATGTCAAGCCATGACAATCCATTGCTACGTATTACTGCATAAAATATTACAAAAAGCCATTTTGCACCACTAGATTTCTTTTTTATTTTTATATCTTTGTCCATGCTTAGGTAGGGCCGTAGGGGTAAGTCCTATATACACCCCACTTATGGGACCACATTGGATCAGTTGATGTTATCCATACATTATAACTGAATTCACCGAGAAGGGGAGCTCCTCTCCATGTTCTCAAGCTGAGGTTTACTTTTTTGTGTGTGGGGAAAAACTGAGGTTTTGTTGGAAGTGGACATTTATGATTCATCAAGGCATCACGGACCAAAGAGGAATGAAAAAGTTAGAAACCAACACTTTACAAATAAAAGATTCTCATTGTAATGAATACAAACAATTTGTAATTACATACATTCCAGCTGAGTAGCATTACACTTTCTTTACAGTTATTCTGGAAGATCATACTTCAAAAAACCCTGATTTAAAAAAATGAGAGGGAATGACTAACCATCCATGCTGGCTTCTTAGTACTTTTCTGTAAGAGCACCAGCTGTTTGATAAAATGACCAGAAGAGAAGCTAATGTGATCTTCAATCAGCCCGCTGCCAAAAGCTGTGAAGAACACCAATCCAGCTACTGAAAACCCCTGAACACGTAGGGAGATGAACGATTTGTTATAGCAAACTTTATAAAACTTGAAACTATAAAAGTGCTCACTTTTACTTCTTTTTGAGTTCTACGCAAAATCTCAAGAAAAATACATAAAACTGCAAAAATGAAAAAAAAAAATACCAAGCAAATACTGATGAAAATGAGAGATGCATTGTAATATTTCAGATTTGGAATTTCCACCATCCGGAAAGTCATTAATGATAAAGACATATGATAATTGCAGGTTACAAATCTGCAATGCTGGAAGATTAAGCAGCGAAGATGAAGATGGAGCATAGAAAAAGAAATACCAGGGCTGTATGCGAGTGGAACTAGGGCGATTTTTATGTGGATGAGCAAGGAGGACGCAGTAGTGATAATTGGAGAATGATTTATGGACCTTTTGGTGCATTCAAATGAGGCACTTGCAAAAGTAACCACGATTTGGAGGACAGCGGAAATTCAAAGTTTTAAACTCCCAATAATGATTACTAGCCTAAGAACACATACTAAAACTATAGCTAGTGATAGAAACTTATACCTTCTCCGGTAAGCGGTAATGACGTTGAATCGAGGGAAGGCGTTGAATGAGCAAACGTAGCCATTCAAACGTCCGGCCTCCAACTTTCTCACACTCACTCCATGAGGATTTAGGGGGGAAGAGTTCACCCAAGCTCAGAGTGTGTGGATGAGCAAGAGAACGTTGACTCTTTCTGCGTCATTGGGTTGAAAATATATTAAATCCGAATGATACAAATATCGGGTTATGCTTGAAAACTGAATTGGATCAGACTACAACAACTGATTTCAAGTAAGACCAATTTCTTACCGACCCGAGTTCAAGTTGCTTTTTAGACTGATAACATTCCAGTCCATTCCGCTCCAAACTCAAAAATTTATTGGGTTAATAAATTGTTAAATAAGATTTCAGCTCGTTTAAGATATTTAGCCCATTTTAATTTCTAGCCCATTGCCCGATTGTAATTTGATCCAATAACATAGTCCATTCATCTAAATAACTAAACACGAATAATCTAAGTATCTACATAGTAATATATAGATGAATATGACAACAAAAACATCTCAATGGAATTTTATAAGACTCTCTCCAACGCACCATCCTTCATCCGCCTATAGCTCAGCGCATGCCCAGCATGCAGCATTGTCTAGCACGTCAGACATCCACATGTCCGCAACTCATCCTTCATGAAGAATGCATCCTTGGTTTCCTTTTTTTTTTTGTTGAAAGTCCCTTTTTATTGAAAAACTTATTTTTTGTTACAGTTATTATTTTTCTAGTTCTACTTTTATTGTTTACTTTTATTTATTCGTTTAAAATATTTCTTACAAGAAAAGAATTAAAATAAAGTCAAATATAGACTAGTTTTGAATGCCTTCAATTTTGTAAAATAAGTATTTTTACTAATTGTAATGCAAATTAATTTTTTAGTTATATATTTATTCACATACAGTTTTTATTATTTATTTAATATATTTTTTGATAAAAATATATTTATTATATAAAAAGAAAAATAATGGTGATATAGAATTAATAAGGTGTGTGTAGGAATGATGGATATGAAATTGTTGAGGATAAAAGATGTTTGTGAGAAAGATAAGTAATAAGCTGGTGTGACATGCATGCTCACTAGGCTTGCATGTGAGAAAGGCAGCCCTTAGTGTTTAGAAAGTATAACAATAGGGTTTGAAAGCAGGCTTTGAGATATCACTATTAAAAGTATAGATGTTGTTTGAGAGGATGTTCTTAGAGACCAAAAGCCTAGCGAATTAATTCTCGTTCGGTGAAACAAACATAAAAGGTGTTTTGACCACTGATAAGAAGAGATCAGACGTGAATCATACCCACAATACCGTTGTTGAGTTACAAACTTCACCTCACATCGGAAGTGAAGAAGAAGAATGATCTAAATAAATATGTTATTTAACCCCATGACTATGAAGCCTTTATGGAGGTGCTTAAAAATAAATCCGTCAGGGCTTACCCCAAAGTGGACAATATCATACCAATGCGGGGTTGGGGTGAGATCACGTGTGGTTTTAAAATGTAGTATCAGAGCCCAGATTCGTGCAAGCGGAGGAGAAACGGACTCCGTTGTGTGAAATTCTCAATGTGTCTGGTGTGACAACAAGGACTAGATATCTGCATGTAGTGCCTTATACCAAAAGTCTTCTTGGCAAGGGGGGTGTCTCGTTGGTGTTTACAATGATAAAATGTGATTTAATAGATCAAGTGTAGTGACCACAACAGGTTGGTGGTCTGCGGTATACCTTGTGTTGAAAGTCTTTCCAAACAGGAGGTCAGGGAGCGTGTCCCATGACGTTAGAGCGGTGGTGCAAGATGGTGTGCAGATCAAATTGATAATTGTTAAAGGGGAGGTCACGAGATTGTGTGGTCTCAATTTGAGGGAAGGATTGTTAAGGTACAAATTCCATCCCATCGGAAGAGGAGAAGAAGAATTGTCTAAATAAATATGTTTATCCAATCCCATTAGTATGGGGCGTTTTGGAAGGTACCCAAAAATAAATCTGTGAGGGTTTAATCCAAAGCAAATAATATCATACTAATGTGGGATTTGGGTAATGGTACACGTGGTTAACACATCGTTAACCTAATAAACACAGGATTTTGACATGTGTTGCCTTGTTGGATGACGATTTTTAATCTTGAATGGTACACAGTGTACCGTTAAAACAATAAATAGTTAACTAGGAAACGTAGAATTTTCCCAGTCGTTGACACATGTTGGATTAATTTAAAACAACACAAAGTGTATTGTTAATGTTGGAAAACTTTAAGCTCACATTCTAATATAATATATTTGCCTTCAATCAACCAAAAAACCACTCTAAAGTTGCACGCCACCACGAGGAAATGAAAGAAGAAGGATTCTGTCTGTCAGCCCAACGTTGTAGGTCACCATCTGCCACCGTCCATCATCGTGTGTCGCATATAACGATACATGTTCTAACGTTTAAGGTAATTTCTTACTAAAAATCTCAATTTACACCTTTATTCTACCTATTTTACTCCTCAATTTATACCTTTTATCTATAAATTTGATCCATATCGTAGCTGTAGAAATTAGTTTTTTAATTTTTTGTCACCCGGGCAAGATTCCAACTTACGATCTTGGGGAAGTACATACATAGGCATCCTGATAGAGGCTGGGATGTGCCTGTGCATGGAAGACCCCCCCAAAGGCAACGACAAAACAAGAAGATAGAGGATGAGGTGGACGCATACATTGTCGACCCTAGCCTAGAGTTCCACCTGCATACACCAGCTTGAGACGAGGAAGCCACATCATTCTTTTCACTAGCTTTCCTATATCCACCATTCATGGATTGGGCATCCTCTTCACATGATCTGCCGCCCATTTGTGCGGAAAAATATTTGCTTCACATGGGATTTCCAACAACACCACTTTCGCTTCAAAAAAATATATTTGGGGATTTCATTTTGCAGTTGACTCAGGAGGGCGAGACGTGGGGTTCTCATTTGCAGTCGGCAAAAATGGTACGTCGACAACCACACGAACAGATATGGGGTAGGCAAAACGATACAGGGAGCCACTGCGTAGTTCAAGGATGGTCTCACGAGAATGACTCTAACTCGTAGCTTTTTTTTGTTTATGTACTTCATTGTTTTTAGATTGACTTATTTGTGTTTTTTAAAGTTTTTAAAATTTATTAGTTGTGTCTTAAACTACATGCTTGTGAAGTTTATTTTTTCCTATGAGATTGTCTAATAAATATTTTGATTTATTTTTCTAACTTGATAAATTATCCTTCACTTACTCATCTCCCACCTAACATAAAAAAAAATCATGCACCAATCAACTTCTACCTGACATAATGAATTATATTCCACCCAACTCTTCTCCAACCTGACACTAAAAGTATCTTGCAGCCAACTCATCTCTCACCTAACACTAAAAATCCCACGTAACAACGTGTCACCTAGATTTTTTTCCTCCGGCACCTTAGAAGTAATTTTTAGAAGAAATTCAACAACAAGAAGCTGAAGGCATTGATGTACATGCAGCCAGTACCCCCAATATCTATAAATTTCATCATACATTGCAACAAATTTAGTCACACCGGGCATGGGCATATGATTGATCGATGGCTTTACCATTAAAAAAGTGGCACTAAGTTATGATGATAAGGGTCTAGTATGGAATCATGACCAATAATCATACCAAAAACTTCAATCACATGGCGAAGGGCATAGGTCTCTTCCGATAAATGTTATCTTGAAGAAAGCCTATGAGTGATTAGTAAAATTTTCACGAAAAGGCAGACAAACGGATTTAATTTCCCATAATGTATTTGGGATGAGGCCAGATGCATGGAAGATAATTGTTTGTATCATAGTTTTTAGAACCGGACCGGGGACCGAACCGGTCAAGGTACTGGTTCATACTGGACAAACCGGTGGTTCAAGTGATCGAACCAGTGGTTCACGCATATTTGAAAATTATATATATATACACACACACATGCATAAAAAATAATATTTAATGAAATAATATTTCCTTTATCTATAAATAAAGAATTTATGATGTATTACTAAATTTACAAGCAATTTAATTATTTGAGCAGTATCATTAAATTAAAAAAAGAATGCGTAACAAATAAAAAAATTATAAAAGAAGAGGTGATATTTATTTTTTATAATTTACACAATTTTTTAAAAAATATTTAAATAACTTAATAGTTTTGTGATATGAAGTTTATATTCAAAGCAATTGCTTCAATATTTTAGACACACGCACTTCTTCGTTTCTACTTTCTAAATAACTAAAGAAAGTAATTTATAACATTTGACTAAAATTATATTAATACACTTGAGTTACTTTACTAAGTTAAAAAATAAAATTTACGTATTTAAAAAACAATATTAAAAATTTTATAAGTGTAGACTTAATTTTATTTTTTTCAAATAAGTTGTCTTATATTTAAAAACACTCAAATGAAATATCTGCATGATATGCATCTTGTAATACTATCAATTATTTCAATTATATTTTTAAATATAAAAAGAAATCTTTACACGATCTTTTTTTAATGATGAAATATTTTAAAAGATTAAGTGAACTTGTAACAAAAATCATCATAGCTTAGATGGTAGGAACTTAACTATAAATGTCTAAAAGATCTTGAGTTCAAACCCCCGCGGTGTATGTTTTTGGGGGGAAATGCAGAAATTTGCAACAACAAAAAAAAATTGGCCGGACCGGTTCAACCGGCCAGTTCGCATTATTTCGGACCGGTTCACACCGGTTCAATGCATGTAACGGTCCAAAGGGCCAGACCGGACCGGTTGGACCACCAGTTTGCCGGTTCACGGTCCAAAGCAGCTGGTCCGGTCCGATTTTTAAAACTACGGTTTGTATTATTGTGTTATCCCATATCATTCACTACATGGGATTTACTAAGTTATTGTTGAGGGTAGTGTTGGAGCTGCTAGTAGAGAAGATGGGATTATCGTGCATCTGGGACAACAAATATGTAGTTGCAAAAATGGGCCACATTACACATGTCTTGTGTCTACGCTTACGCCGTATGCCATTAGTGTAGCATCACAATTAATGATCTCATTTTATAGGTGTTTTCACTACAGAGTTACTTGAACGCATACTCTGAAAGTGTTATGTCACTGTCAAATAAAATGGAATGGCTTAATCCTAGTTACGAATTGGTGCGACCGGGTATGGGGTAGAGGTCGCAAGCCGGTTGTCTAATGAGCACTCATTTCACTAATAACAAGAATACTTGACCATGAAGGCGACATGGTTCGGTGGTACATAATTCATTTATAAATTTCTATTTTTGATTTTTAATTATGTATGCTAACTCTAAATTTGCATTTTTTCCAGCAATAACATGTCACACGCTCTCTTTATTATATTCTATACTGATAAAAAAAGTTTTTGGATTGAATTTTGTAAATCTTTTCATTTCTAAAAAAATTGTCTGAAAAGTTTCTAAAAAATATAAAAAATCAAATGAGCAACGACATAATTAATGCATCTAAAAGGATTTAATAGAAAAATATAAAATACTCCCTTTGTCTTTATACAACAACAACAACCCAGTTGAATCCCACTACAGTAAGGTCTGGGGAGGGTGTGTGTACGCAGACCTTGCCCCTACTCGGAAGTAGGGAGGCTGTTTCCAAGAGACCACCGGCTCAACCTGCACAAAAATATGGTAGGGAACACAATATAACAGGGTAACAGGATATAACAGGATATAACAGGATAAAGCACCAAGTACAATGAAATGAAAGTCCAGCAAGCAAAAGTAGAAGATTCCAATCAAACACAACACACTACAAAAAACCTCTGCAGCACCGCGCTCCTAACCAGCTACTTTAATCCTAGTCCGCCAAAGGTTCCTATCTAAAGCCATATCCTCAGTCAGGGTGAGAAGTCCTAAATCCTGCCTAATCACCTCCTTCCAATTCTTCCTAGGTCTACCCCTTCCCCTACTTCCCCCGATAACCGTGATCCTCCCTTTGTCTTTATATAGATTACAATATTCCTTTTTTGCATAATATAATATCAATTCACATCAAAGAAAACTTTTCCCAAAATACCCCTAATAGTACATATGTGTATCTACTTTTGTAGTGTAGATGATATTTTATGAGATGTTGGAGAAGGATTTCAGGGCCGGTCCTGAGGATTCATCGGCCTGGGTCGAAACAGAAAAAAAAGGCCCTAAAAGTTTTATCCTTAATGGTCTAAGAAATTAACATAGGTAAACTAATTATATTTAAATTATAATTAACGCAATATTATTAGAAGAAAAAAATAAATGACAAAATTATATTATTATAATTACATAACGTAAAAGCTAGCCGAGAATTTGAGAAGTTCTCCTTGATTTATTTCTGAAATAAAATCCAAATTCATAAATTCTACTACTTAGTAAAATAAAATATGGAAAAGCAATCAAATAAATTAATATATCATAAATTCATATCAATTCGTCAATTTTTTTCTTTTTCAGTTGTGCAAACGCACGGGTATGAATCTAGTATCATTTAAACAAATTAAAGAAAAAACCACATGGATGGCAACTAGGGATTGGTCAATAACTTTCTTTTCCTCTTCTTCTCTACAGAGCACTTTTCCTCTCTCCCGTTGGAATTTGTCTTGGAGAAGTACGTTTCTGGTGCAAGCCTGGCAGCGACAGCTAATCTTACTCAAAAATTTTCAGTTTTAATTTTTTTTTAATTTTCAGTTTTTTATATACAAATATATAATAAATTTAAATCAATTCATCCAAATCAAATATATAACATATAGAACCATTAATTCACTCTATTTCATAGCAATTAACAAGAATTTCAAATTAAAAATTAAATATTAACCCTAGATTTTAAATCTAAAGAATGAAACAATGAAAGAAAAATAAGAAATAATTACGGAAATACGGAATACCTGGATGCTGGAGCTTGAGGGTCGGCGTCCGGCGGTGCGTCTAGCGGCGGCGGCGGCGTATCTGAGTTCTCTCTTCGTCGGTTCTTCTGTCAGTTCCGTCGTGTCCCTGCCTTGTTCGGTTCTCTCGTGCGTCTCTCCCGTTAAGAGAAGAGAGGAGGATGGATTGGGCTGGGCTTCTTTAATTGGGCTAGACCTGGCAAAACTGACTCGAAATCGATTTGACCTGAAAACTGAAGAATTCGAAATAGAATCGAACACCCGAAATGATTCGAACCAAACCCGAACCGAATGTATTCAGACCCGATTCAGATCCGAATCTGATTAAACCCGAACCGATAAAACCTGAATCCAGTTAAATCCAGAACCGATTAGACCTGAAATTGATTAAATTTTATGTACGTCCGTGTTAAATACGGAGTAATAAAATAACTATAGAGTATATCATAAATTGATTAATTTATTATGTGATATTATGGATTTATTAGTGAATATTTAAAATATACCTGAACTAATATAAATCTAAATCGATACAAACCTGAATTGATATAAACTCGAACCGATACAAACCCAAACCGATACAAACCCGAACCAAAACCGAACTGAAACAGAAAACCAGTCAGACCGAAATAAACTCCGGAACCAAAGCGATCTGAACCGATTATAACATATACTCCGTATATGAATGAGAATCGTATCGAAAAGACTCGAACCGGAACCGAACCGACTGACCCGATAGCCAGGTCTAAATTGGGGCCATTAATTTTTTTGTCATGCTCGAACGGAGTGTTTGTCCCTCTATTGGGCCGGTTGTGAGAGGACAAACAGTCCGTCCTAGCAGGGCCCAAAAAATTATTGGGGCCAATTAAAGAAGCCCAGCCCAATTCATCCTCTTCTCTTAGTTGCGGGAGAGACGCACGAGAGAACCGAACAAGGCAGGGACGACGGAACTGACGGAAGAACCGACGAAGAGAGAACTCAGATACGCCGCCGCCGCCGCCGCCGCCTCTAGACGCAACGCCGGACGCCGACCCTCAAGCTCCAGCCTCCAGGTATTCCGTATTTCCGTAATTATTTCTTATTTTTCTTTCATTGTTTCATTCTTTAGATTTAAAATCTAGGGTTAATTTTTAATTTTTAATTTGAAATTCTTGTTAATTGCTATGAAATAGAGTGAATTAATGGTTCTATATGTTATATATTTGATTTGGATGAATTGATTTAAATTTATTATATATTTGTATATAAAAAACTGAAAATTAAAAAAATTAAAAACTGAAAATTTTTGAGTAAGATTAGCTGTCGCTGCCAGGCTTGCACCAAAAACGTACTTCTCCAAGACAAATTCCAACGTCAGAGAGGAAAAATGCTCTGTAGAGAAGAAGAGGAAAAGAAAGTTATTGACCAATCCCTAGTTACCATCCATGTGGTCTTTTCTTTAATTTGTTTAAATGATACTAGATTCATACCCGTGCGTTTGCACAACTGAAAAAGAAAAAAAATTGACGAATTGATATGAATTTATGATATATTAATTTATTTGATTGCTTTTCCATATTTTATTTTACTAAGTAGTAGAATTTATGAATTTGGATTTTATTTCAGAAATAAATCAAGGAGAACTTCTCGAATTCTCGGCTAGCTTTTACCGTATGTAATTATAATAATATAATTTTGTCATTTATTTTTTTCTTCTAATAATATTGCGTTAATTATAATTTAAATATAATTAGTTTACCAATGTTAATTTCTTAGACCATTAAGGATAAAACTTTTAGGGCCTTTTTTCTGTTTCGGCCCAAGCCGATGAATCCTCAGGACTGGCCCTGGTCTCTCCCTTTCCTCTTCCAATTGTGGGCCGTTTTATCTATTTTAATTTGCAGGGTACTTGGTTATTGTGTGACTAGTTCAATTAAGTGTGGCCGTGTGGGTTATTTGAAATTGGCGTGCAGTTTAGTGGAAGAAATGTCTTCATCTGGTTCAACTTCAATTAACAATAATTCTGAAGTTGATGGTGATATAAAGTTACCATTGTGGAAATATTTCAAAGTAATTAATATATGTTGCAAATATTTCTGACATAAATACGTGTATCTTACAATGAAATGACTAATACAAATTAAAAATGTATAGATAAATTTGCCGCACCCACACCCATTTTTTTTGAAAATTTTCGCACCTGCATACCGGTCATGCAACCGCACGGGTCGCCGCACCCGCACCTGTGCTTCATATAATAAATTTCAAACAACTCGCTATGATACTTCAGGCTTTCTTCAAATGCTTAATGTTCTTTGTCTTTGTAATGTTGATTGCTGCTTGCTTTTTCAATCTTCTGAGTTGTAATATTTATTAACTGATCTTGTTTTTTCAGAATGGAAAATCAGGAAGATGGATCGATGCATGAGCGTGGTGAAAAGATCTTGCGCATCTTCTCAGAATTTATGACAAGGTTAACAAATTTAAAAGTATTGTCTGACTAACAACAAAAGCTGCTTGATAATCCTATGAAACTGAACTCATATATAGCTTAATGTAGTAGAGATTATGTGATTGAATCTTCTTTTTTTAGTTTCTCCATGGGATGGCATACTATGAACTTCCCTAACTATTTGTTTTCCTTGTTTATTTACTGGAATTCCAGTATTGTAAAGTTTGAGGAACTATCATCTGTAGGGAACAAATTGCTAGTTGGCTTTCAGCAAGGACTTGGTGAGCTCGGCGACATCCATTTGAGTATCTGAGGGATGAAAAATTCTATATCTTTTGTTTTTCTCATGATGTCATGCATGCCTGTTTCGTGCAGAATATGTTCAAAGGCCTCGGATTGAAAAGTATCCTGATTTGGTCGAGTCCATTATCAAAGCTAATGAAACCAAGAGGCTGGTGTCCTACATTGAGTCTGGATGCAAGAACACCAATGACAGTATTCAGAATATAAACAAGTGTAAATGTCCTGTGCTCATACATTCATATGTAAAACCATGCATATATAGCCTCTTTATTCTCTATCATGCATGGATGCGAGTGGTTACTTTGTTTTTATACACCCACCCCCACACCCCAGTTGTGGGAAGTAAGTGTCTTTGAGGGGTTGATGGTGTGTGTTTTCTGTATGTTTCCATATATTTAACCTTTGTTTTATGCTTGCAGAAGTGCATACATGTCACAATGAACTGCAGGATCATAAAACTAAAGGTATAGTGCACCCAGGAATTACAACCAACCAATATTTTTCATTTAATGCTTTTGATCTTAACTCAATATCCTTTCAAATTTTTAGTCTTATTTAGTTGCTGCTGTTTGAAATTTTAATTTTCCCTATAAAGATAACACATTTGAACAGAAGCGGGTTTTACATGTTTAATGTTTTGTTACTAAAAAAGTGTTGTTGTTGTTGTTTACTAAAAAAGTGTCCCATCTGGGTCTGTTTAATTTAGTTAGACCAACAAATCAATTTTAAAGTATAGTTATATTTGATGATTTCAAGTAGTTGTACTTTACTAAAATACAAAATTTGTACATTTGCGAAATACAACCTTTTCTTTGCACAATGAAGAGTACCGTATAAACAACAGGTATAGACAATAAAATGTGCTTCTTCTTTTGTGATAATCTCATAGACTATTTGTTTTAAATGAAATTTATAATTAGATAATTCAATGGAATATGCATCAATATCTTCCCTTAACAGACTGCTTGAACTACAAACTGTTGCATGCATTGTTGATTACAGCAAAATGCTTGGTGGATGATCTTGGCAGCCTTCTGGATGATACAGTTGCTATAGTGCAAAGTGCAAAGTACAACCTGGCTTGCGCAATGGACAGAGATAGCGATTGCGATTTGGACTATGAAACAACCTTAACTGAAAGAGTATGATCCTTTTTTTTTTTGAAACAGAGTATGATCCTTTTTTTTCTGTTCTATAATTTTAATTTTCTATGCATCCCAAATCCCAACGAGCAGCCTCAGGTTTGAAATATCATAATTATAGTTTTCTCTTCAATTGTTTGTTATCACAGTCATCGATTGTATCAAGCGAAACACTCATAGAGGTTGCTATGGTGATGGCGGCAGTATGCAGTATGGTTAAAAAAGACTACGCGATGCAGGTAAAATGACCATTTCATCCCTCTCTAGTGTATGTATGTAGCTCAACGCAACCTGATGACTGATGTATATATATCTCTTCTTCAATGGCCTCTGTTTTTGTCTGCGACGTTCTTACAGGAAAAGATTATTTCGTCTCTGAATCTCAAATCGTCAACGGGAGAGCTCGAAACGTACTGCTTAATGTGGTCGCTGCGCCCTTTCATAGATGATGAGATCATGCAGAGAGCTTGGAAACTTGTCCATTGACCAAAGTTCATGTCAATCTTATACTATCCATTATTGGGTTAAACACTCCTTTTAAGTTCATAAAACCAAAGTCCAAAGCTCATTTTGAGAAATGTTTATTTAAGAGTTACACGTTAATTTATTACGGAGTACTATTTTGGGAAAAAAAGTAAATCTTGATTAAAAAGGTATAGATGAAAGAAAAAAAGTGATTGGATATGATTATATGTTTATATGAATATCCAATTTATAAGAATATCCAATTGAAGCTGCATTTTTATTCCATCTATGGTTGAAATTTGAAGTTAGTGATAACAACTTAATTATTACTCCTATTATACCATGAGTCTATTTTACTCCAAGAGCAAAAAAGTCAGTCTCAAAATCATATGTAGGACTACTCCGTATGATAGTTTGACTTCACGAGAATTATTAAGACAAAATAAATGATGTCCACATATTTATATTCAAATAGACAAGTTCCCATAGAGAAGAAGCTTCATATGTTCAAATTTACATCTTTAAAGAAATTGGAGTACCTTTTTATTTTGTAAAGTTTTTGATGTAGTATTTAAATATATAAATATATTCCGTAATTTTTTTAATTTATACACTGTACGAAATACCAAATATTAATTTTTCCTTTAGTCCCAATTTAAATTGTTTTTGTAACATTCACATGGTCAAAATTTGTTCACTTTATTTATCTATTTTTGTTACTAATTTGATAATATATTTTTGTTACTAATTTAATAATATAGTCATGTCACTTCTTATGTTGTAGAATTTTTTATATTGTTTTTAAATTTGTAAGTTTTTTTCTCAATTCTCATACGGAGTATAAGTTAAATTGAAATTAGTACCTAGGGAGTACTACGGCATTAAATAAGTTGAATGAGAAATAATGTTGGGTTATCCTAGCTATATTCTTTTGAGGAACTATAATACTCTTAATTACTAGCTGTGAAACAACATGTGGTTGACTTTATTTAAGAAAAAAATAGTCAAAGTAAATAATTTTTCAACATCAAAAGTCAAGCAAAGTAATATAGTATTAAAAGAATTCAATAAATTAACGTAACACGAAAATCTAAAGCATATGATTTTTAATAGTTATATTTTATAAAATATAATTTGTGTAAGATATGTATTAATGTTTTTAGATACGGAATATAGTATAGTATAAGAAGTATCGTGAGTTAAATTACAAATCGATATTGATCCATCATATAAATTACATAGTATGATTATTCAAATATTTGTTTAGAATTCGATAACAACTATTCAAATATTAATCAAATACATATTCAAATCTTATTTTGAATTCGTCACATATTCGGATTCAGATTCATATTCAAAAAAATTAAACAAATACAAATTCAAAGAGTGGGGGTTACTTACAAGAAAAGTAACTTTCCATTTTATATTCTCCTCTTCAACAAAAGTTTTTTTTAAGGTAAAATCTTTTTTCATTACTCCAACATAAAATCTAGAGGCATAGTCTCCAACCGGCAATGGGACTCAATCTCCAAACAAGCATATGAACAATTACATTGTGACAATGCCTAACATGGTTTAAGGAAATGTTGTGAAAATCATACTCTAACAATCCCCAATCTTTAATCAAAGCCCCAAAATAAGAAGGCAAATCTCAAATAATAAAGTTTTTATTTACTTCCGATCAAATTAAATTTTAACTCTTTTTCTTACCGACTATCACTATATACAAAAAACTACGGTAAGGGATGCAATGACATTTGCTTTATGGTGACACCGACTTCAATTGAAGCAATTAGGGTGCTCGATTCACAAAATTGATGGTTCCTGTATCCCTAATTCTCTAAACTCCTACCCAAACTCATGACCATACCCCTTAGATCCCTAAATTAGAGACAATACAAATTGTTGTGATCCAAAGGAAGCTTGGGTTGGGATGAGGGGTTAGGGATCATTAATATTTCGAAGAGAGTACTCTAAGTAATACAAAAAGACAATGACACCGTAGTACTGGCCAAAACCAATGTCAATGGAATTGTTTCCAAAATAATACCCTCTCTGTCCCAAAATAAGACTTTCATTCGATTTTTGATGCTTGACTGAAGCTATTTTCAAATTAATATAATTAAAAATTGGTGCGGAATTAAAAATTAAATTTATATATTAACAAACTAGATCAAAAATTTTACAAAACAAGTGGTGTCAAAGTTATTTTATTTTATCAAATAGTCGATGAAAATGTATAAATAAAGTAGAATTAGTTTGACATGTGAATAGTAACTGTGAGTCTTTTTTTTGGGACGGAAAGAATATAGGCTTATCTTTTTTTTTATTTCTAAAACTTTAGTAGTGTGCAAATAAATAGCTTTAATAAATGAATTGAGTTAAACATTGTCAATAAGGTCAACAATTCCCATATACTACCTCCAAGATCTTATAGAGAGTTTATCATAATTTCTTAAGGTAGTGTTTGAAAAATTAGAAATTAATTTAAATTCTAAAACAGGCCATAAGTGAATTTGAACTTGTGATCTCCCATTTGAGAGAGTCACAATTATCTCACTCAACCATAAAATCTTTGACTAGAGGGTAATATATAATGGTTATTTTAATAAACATGTGTCCACTCACACAGAACCATCTAACTCTGGGAACACAAGAAATAAGCTCTGGTGGAGTTTAAACTCCAAGCAAATAAGCTCTTGCTACAATGCAGTGAGATTATATTATTCCAATGTTTCTACATTAGTTCTCCTCTCCTTTCAAAAATCAGTTCCATGAGTCGGGCGAGCACGAAGAAAACAGAGAAAAAAAGGACATACCGCCCAAGAAAAAGAGATCACCAGGTGAACTGAAGTGGTTGTTCTCATCACAGGTTCTTCAAAGCTGAACCATGAGATGCTCCCTTTGGTGTCAACTTTGCTAACAATGCCTTGTTATGACAGTGCTCCGCATCAACAAAATAGAAATTCCTGTTCGCCTTAAATGTCACAAACGGTCTGTTGGTCTCAGGTGGCCTGATATCTGCAAACTGAATGGTCCTTGGGATGAGCGTGGCCAGCCATGACATCATCTCCACCTCAAAACAGTCTGATCCAGGCTGCCACCGGAGTTTGTGAACGTAAGGGCTCACAAACCAGTGGAGGGCACCGGTGGTGGTAGCACTCAAGAAGATTACAGAAGATGCCACCGCTCCCTTTAGGATCACATTCATGTCTGGTGATGTCATGAATGTGATCACCGGCCCCAGGGACACGGAGAGGCAACAGGTGGACAAAGAGAGAAGCTTCACTTTCTTGATGGTGCTTGATATTGGACCGTAGTATACAACACCCGCGTCTTTTTCACCCTTCCCTGAATCATCATTCCCTTTTTGAGGTCCAATACTTATCTTGTTATCCTCTTCTGCTGAAGTGGATTTAGATGACCACCTCTTCTGAATAGCAGCACTCTCCCTTCCATAACTGCAAGCTGCTTTGACATGTGCATGAGACAAGGTCCCATAGGTCGCCTGATGAAAACCTGTTTAACTGACTTGCGTTAACAACTGGTATGCAGCTTTTGTTTTAACTAAAGAAATGGGAAATGGGAATCCTCTTCCAAGCCAAATATCAATCAAATACTCTCACTGTCCCCTTTCAGTCCTTTTGCATTCCTTATTGATCCGTCCTTAAATAATCTTTCTGTTTAAATGGGAAGGGCTCTTGACGGCTTGGTTTGTCTTTTGAAATATATTTGAGATTATAGATAAAAAATGAAAGATTAATGTACTATGTGATCGTATAACATTTCAATCACCTCTTACTAAGTTTTAGAATCATTTTCACTAACATATAGAGACCGTAAATATTGTTTACTTGAGCGCAAACATCCAAAAGCAAAAATACACAAGGAGAAATGAAGTACTCTTAATTTTCTTTTCATCTTTTGGAAACTAAATGATAGATCCTATATTGAGCATTATTATGATAGTTCTTTCCTACTTAAAAAAATGATAGTTCTTTCAATCTTCAAAGAGTTCAAGCGCCAAATATGAGCATTAAATACCTCACAAAAAAAAAGGATCAACATTTTGAAAAAAAACATCACAAGATTAAAAAGCAAAAAGAGATGTCAAGGATGAAACACCGCATCTACTTCGACCTACTTGCTAAGTAAAGTATATTCTAAAAAACGCAAATAATGTTTGATCCACACATGAACAAAAAGAACTTCATGAAATGCAGTGCATAGTAGAAATGACATGCTTCTATCAGGCTTAATTTACATTGTTTGCCAGGAGCCCTCCCGAAACAGCCCCTCTACTCCAAACCCAACTCTTGAGGGTATCTACTCAATCTGTTTGATTTGTAAGCTTACCCAGACACGAACGGATGAAAAAAGTCTACAAATCTACGCAATTATAGCATTAAACCAGCACAAGATTCACCAAAATCGAACCGAGATTCATAAAAAATGCTTAATTTGAGCTGAAACATTGATGGGCTAGGCGTTCACAGAATAGACATTGAATTGCTTCAATAGACATGGATAATAGCATCAGGCAAGCAGTGAACAACCGCATCAGCTCAAAACAAAGTGTTTGGGCTTTGATGAATCGAAGTACAGTAAAATGGAAGTTAAAAGAGCGGTGGAGAAGAAGAAGAAGAACCTGATCGAAAGTTGGAGGAGCTGAAATGAGTGGCCTGAGATCGAGCCAAACGGAAAAGGGATGTCGCGGCTCCTGCCATTTTCGCCAGAGAGGTTTTAGATAGAGAGACACAACTGTGGAATGTCCTCTCTCTCTCCCTCGCCTTGAGTAGTAGGGTTTGCGGAGGTAGAGAATGGAACGTAATTATAAACTTTTCGGATATTGGTAGATCAACACAGGCACTTGGTCTAGATGGCATTGGCATGATTATATCACTTTGGTTGCGAGAGGTCTCAAGTTCCAATTCTTTGATGCCCCCTTAACAACATTTTTGTTTTGTGTTTTTATCAACTAACAAGTTTTTACATTTTGAGTGGGATTTTATTCGTATCTAACTCGTGGTGGAAATTTTATTGATAATTTGATGCGTGCAAATCTATTTTAACACTCGAGTTTAATATCATGTGTCTCACACACACACATATACATACATGGTTGAGTTCTCAAATTTATTCTTTCTAATAAAGTATTTTTTTTAAAATTAGTCCTCAATAAGTAATAATCACCAGCTTGATCTTTCATAACTGTTTAATTGAGATGTATTTCTTAAATAGTTTTCTGTAAAAAAATACCTAAAATAACAGTTAAATGAACGGTATTTTAATATTTTCCATCATCTACACTATCAATAAGTTTCTAAAATGGTCTTATCAAATTAAGTCGGTGACTACTAGAGGAACGAATCCACCCTGAATAGACTCATGGACTCCATTTTCAGAAAACATTAACTAAGAAATCATCAGACTGAAATTCACTTAATTATAAAGGAGCATTTCGAGAACATATTTTAAGCTTAGATGATTGAAAATACAAAAATACTTTCTATTGACTATCATTTAATAAATATTTTTAATTTAGATGCATTTCTTAAATAATTATCTATAAAAAATGCTTATTAAATGACAGTTAAATGAAAGGTATTTTAGTATTTTTATCATCTAAACTATGAATAAGTCCTCAAAATGGTCCTTTCAAAATAAGTGGGTGGCTGCTAGAAGAACGAACCCACCCCGAGCAGGCTCAAATACTCCACCTTGAGAAAAACATTTACTTAGACATTATCAGTTTGAAGTTCACTTAATTATAAAGGATCATTTTGATAACATATTTTAAATCTAAATGATAGAAAATACCAAAATATTTTCTATTTGACTGACAGACATTTAAGAAACATTTTTTTATTGAGACTTTGAAATATTTTGGTACAATACTCGAGCGGACTACCTAACATTATTGCTTCTTCCAGAAATGATTTTGACTTTTCACACTCGGATTGCTCGAAGGCAATCGATTAGCGGTGATTGCACTAACACTGAAACAACCTTCATTATATCTCTTTCAGGCCTAACATCCATCAATGTCGTCGTCGTCATCATCTCCTTTCTTCTTCTTCTTTCATGGCTTCTTTTTTATCTTCTTTCTTGCAACTCTTTTAAGCTTTCTAATAATATTTTCATCTAAATTTGTTTTTGGGACGTCAAGAATGACACTTAATTACTCCGTATTGTTCTAGACCTTTGACATTTTAGTCCCTTACCCAAAACACTAGTCAAAAACCTCTTTTGCGCCTTTTAAGAAACCTTTAGAATTTACGAATTTTTTTTAAAGATGATAATCTTTTTAAATTTTAGTTTTTAAAAACAAAACAGTCTCTGTTAAACGTACCCAAAAAGTCTTTAGCCGGAAAATCTTGTCCAAAATATTTGAAATAAGAGTCCCATTTGGGAATATATTAAAAGGAAGAAATTGAGTTTATTTTTTTTCTTTTTTTTTGCCAACGAGCCCTATATATTCACAATTTATAAATAAACACCGCGCCACCCGACCATTACCGGAAAAAATGGCGGAGTAAAAGATTCCGATCGGACTTTCTATATATATCCCCATCACTTTATTTCTTTTCCCTCTTCTTCCCCATTCTTGTAACCCCAATGGAGCGTTTCTCTGACATGGAATTGGAAAGGGAAAGCGACGGCGAGGACGGCGGCGGCGATTGCTCTCCTCTGTCTTTCCGGTACCTAGAAATTGAGAACGGGAAAGAAGACCGCCAGCCGGGGACGCCGTCTCCGCCGCAAGATGTGTTCTACTTCTTCTCCGATTTCCCGGCGGTGGAGAAACACCGGATGAGCGATTCGGCCGTCGAGATCAACGGGACCCAGAAATGGGATTACTTCCGGTCCCACTCCTTCAGCGGGAAGAGGGAATCATCCGGGTCGGGCTCGGAGCGGTCCCGCTCCGATTCGCGGAAGGTGAATATAAGCTCCCTGACCACCATGTCGGCGGCGTCGCGGCGGCGGATGTTTATGTTCGGGCCGGTGAGGTTCCAGCCGGAGATGGATCTGGTCGCCATCAGGGAGAGGCAACGCCGGCGGCTCTCTCCCAAGAGGGTGTTGCCATCCGCCGCGGCGGATGAAGGGGTGGTGGAGAAGGCCGGTGTTGGCCGCCGATCGGAGCGGCGTGGAGCTGGGTCCCGCCTGTGGGCCGCCGTAGCGAAACGGCTTAGCTGCTTTAAAGTTGAGTCAGTCGCGGACTAACCACGTTTTCACTTTCTCGATCAGTGGCTTTCGGTGGGTAATTTTTTTTCTTTTTTTTTTAACTTTTAATTTTTATTCTCTCTAAATTTCAATGGAATACTCCATAGTAAAGTAAAGGGTAAAACGGTACATATTGGAAAGAATAATCTAAAACTTTTCAACCCAAATGTATGGGTTTGTATTCTAATGAATAATCATATACTCCCTCCGTCCATAAATAAACTTCCCACTTTCCTTTTTTGTCCGTCCACAAATAAATTTCCCATTTCCTTTTTTGGAAACTTTTTTCATGCGAAAAGACTTAATTGCCCCCACCTCCACTCTCTTTCTTTTATTTTTCTTTCTTCTTCGCCGCTTCTCACCCATTCCCTTCTTCTCTTTTTTTTTCTTTTTTCCTCTCCCAGTCTCCCTTCTGAAATCACCCACATGCCACTGCCAATTTTTTTCTCTGTTCTTTCTTTCTTTTCTTCTCTTTTTCATTCTTTTCCTTTCTTCTTCTTCTTCTCTCTTCTTCTTTAATTCCTTTTCCTCCATGTTTTGATCTTTGTTCCGTCACCCAATAATTGGGAGCAGCGAGCAGAGAGAGGCGGGCAAGAAGAACCAGAGATCGAAGAGCAGATCTATGAAATCCCATGGTACATACGTGAACCAGAGAGAGGCGGGCAAGATGAACCATGGTCAGATCTGTTCCTTTTTCGACATAATCTCCATCAATTTCATAGATCTATAAAGCTTTTGTTACTCCTAGCCTTGCCCCAAGCCGTCAAAACCTCGGATGGAAGAGATTAGATCTACGAGGGAGGGGGTTACGGAAGGGATGGCGGCAAGAAGAACCACCGAAGTCATCCGATGGTTCCAGAGAGTCGGCGGCAGCGGCTGTAAAGAATCGCCGGCGGTGGTAGAGAATCGCTGGCGGTGGTAGAGAATCGCCGGCGGGGGTGTTGGCAATCAGAGATTCGGTACCAGTAGATTGAAAGATGGAAGGTTGCAGGGGTAAAATAGGAAAGTCAAAGCAAATTTTATCACACATTAATATGCGTGCTCGGTCAAACCGGGAAGTTCTTTTTTGGACGGAGGGAGTATGAATTGAATTTTGTAAAGATCTATCAGAGACACCATCCAATCCCGTCGTATTAATGGCCGGTACGGCGGAGGCAGGGACGTACATTCTTATAAACTCCGTCGTCCCGTAAATATTACCGGCCGGAAGCAAGGAGGCACATCTCAACCGGTGACTGACAATGCTGGCGGCGGCAGCGGCGGAGCTTCTTGATGATCTAAGCCCAGGCACCATTTCCGGCCAGCTACCGATGACGGATTCACTCACTCTTCACTACTCATGATAAGCTAGCTAGGCTACCTTGTTTATGTAGCATGATCATATATATATTGAGTATTTGAGATGAAATTATTACTCCTAGCATTCGGTGTACTCCTTGAATCTAAACAAAAACCATTTTTACAACAAAATGTACTCCATAACTTTAATTTACAACTTTTGTTTTGTTGTATTCCAATTACTCTCTCGGTCCCGAATTAGTCTTCCGAGTTTAACTTGGTTCGATTTTTAATAAAAAATGAAATGTGAGTAGTTGTAGTTTGGATAGATGAAAGATAATTGAAATGATTTACATATTTGTTTCGTTCCTAAAATGAAAAGAAGAAGAAAATTTATGAACAACACAAATGCAAAAGATAATTATGAGATTGAGGGAGTATTATTTTTTTATCAGGCAGATTTCATGGCAATGATGCTAACCACCCCTCAAGAAAGGTGCGCGCCTTACGTTACCCCATCCATTTTATTAGTACTCTCATCGTGGCATTATTTGAGAATAATGTTTTTATTAACGTTAATGTTTTGAGTATTTTTTTAGTAATTTATATGATATCAGACAATAATAGTGATATAAGTGATTTAATCACGAGTATTTATTAATTAGTTAGTACTACCTCCGTCCCGCTATATTTGTCCAGTTTTGACTTTTAGAACTGTTCATCTAAGCACTTTGACTAATCAAATTCTCTTAATGTGTAAGCCTAAATATAGTCATGTGTGATCTTGTTTGATTTGTCTTAACATATACTCCCTCCGTTCCATAAACCCTTCCACCCTAAATTTTTGCGCATCTCATTAAACGCTTTTACTCCCACCTAAAATATCTAAAATATACCCTACTATGTAGTTTATTGCGGGTAGAAGTTGTTTTAGAGGTATTTTAGACATTTTAGGTGGGATAGAAGTATTTTATGGGCTGCGCAAAAAATTAAAACGGAAGTGTTTTGTGGAACGGAGGGAGTAGATTATTAATATATAATTTCTATAATTTTTTAATATACAAATTACAAGATAAAATGGATTAAAGAAGTGCATTGGATGATGTGTAAAAATGAAAGTGGACAAATATAGTGGGACGAAGGGAGTATTTATTATTTCTCATATATCTCATACGTACGTTATCCTATTAGTTGGTGCTCACAAAATAGAATAAAATAAATTGAAAATAAAATGGTGAACATATAAAAGAAGAGTGGTTGAATGAAGCGGCTGAATGAGTCGAATTAGTCCCAACAAAGGAGGAAATTCTTGTTGAACCTATAGGTGTTTGTAACACCCCACCCTGGATGACCCGAGTCATCCAGACCAGAGTGCTAGTAAAATCAGGTTACTTTGTAAAATATCATTTTTCTGAAATACTCTTTTTGATAGCTAAAGAGAATTTTAAAAAAGGTTTTCCACGTAAATTTAAAGTAAAAAACATCCACAGTTAATACAATCTTGGGTTCAAGCCCAAAAAACAAAGTAAAATTTAGTTCGACGTTTTATTCATTATTGAATATTAAATAAGAACTTCTTTGGTACGGCCTCCACGTCCATGCTTTCCTCCTCAGCAATTGTTTCCCTTGCTAGTACCTGCGTGCAGTTAAACACTACACGCTCAGCATAAGCTGAGTGGCAAATAGCCAGTAGACATATATAACATGTAAAAATATTTGTTTTGGGCATTTTAAGTTACTCATGGTTTATGAGCTTTTTAAAATCATTAAGTAAATAATCTCACTTTGAAAAGATACTTGGGGACATTTAAAAAAAATACTTGACCTACTAGATTAACCACATATTAGGAACTAAGTCGTGACTAGGCTGGAACACCGCACTAGTCGATTCGTAGTTTTACTTCGGATACCTCCCCGTGACCTCGGGTCCAGTAATCAGAAGTGAACCCTAGACCCACGGGGTCATCGTCGGGTTCTCGTGCGCACGTTGTGGTATGATTATTTATAGGCTCATCCACATGGACACGGTCCGGCCTTGAAAGTGGTTTGGCCCACTTAGTAAAACGTGACAGTACCTGGTCAGAGTACGTCGTTAAAATAACCTTGAAGTTTTTACTTCGTCCACTAACTGTTTGATTAACCGTAGTATGACCGTTTAAATAAAACACTATGATGCCATCAAACATAATTTGATCTTTTTCAAAAAAAGAAGAAAATTCCACAATCTCGTCCCCTTCTTGTAATTAAACCATTCTGTTACTGTGTGAGCAAATAATTCACCACTTAAACAATAAAAGTGTGTACATTTATATACACATATATATTTATATGTAAAACATAACCAATCATTTATCAATCCAAGAAAATAACATACCGAACCCATTTACCTTTTTTTTTAATATTAGTTTTCAACACCATATATTAAACAATACAAATTAAATATACTTGAAACAATTTAGTCAAAAGTATATCAATTATGTCTAAGTAGTTCTTTATAAATTATTTCGTACATAAGGGGAAAAACAAAGTAATTAAAAGGGTTTTTTTTGTATTTGACTATAACCTTTCGGCTCTATAAAAATAACCCTTTTTGTTTGAAATTTTGTGTGTATATATATGTTGGATGATTTCCATATAAGTTTTACGAACAGATGTACGTGAACAAGGATTTGCTCGTGTATGAATTCCCTTTAACATTACCACATACTTGTTAGTTATTTTTTTTTTTTTGCTACGTACCGCCGAGAAAAAAAACATATATATAATTTATGTTTCATTCCTTATATTTTATAGCAATAGATTCAATTAAATAAAAAAACAATAACATGCACCAAGAACAAAAAAAATATGAACATGGTATATATATCTAAAGGTTATGGTCAACGGCACACCTTCGATGTCGTTAACGAAACGGTAGTTAGACAGAATGTCGGCAGCACTTCCCCGCTACGTTACGTTACCCCAACCTCACTTAAGCACCTCTCACCCTCTCCTTTCGGCCCCCCCTTAAGTTCTTATTTATAGGTAAAGTAAAGGGGTGGTGAAGGGTTTAGGTAGGATTTTTAATTAATTAATTAAATAATATTAATAAATTAGTATTTACTTATTGCCATCATGGAGATGATCAATGCTTGCATTTGGGTGCCCCTTGGTTTGCTTGTGGAGTGCGTGGAGTTGAGGATCACGTGTCTGATTTCCACAATTCCAATTACTAAATATTTTTAGAAAAATATAAAACGTATATTGTTAAGTTCCATATTTTTTACACATCATTTTAACATAATCTGTTTGTTAAGAAAAGTAGATTCACTTGAACAAATTATGTGAATAGTAGAGAACCAAACTATTTTTTTCCCTTTCACTTTACTCCGTTTTTTATCTCTACTAATAATCATTTAATATTAAATTCCAAATTGATTGTTTCTAAATAAATAATAGTACCATTTTTTTATTTTTAATTTTATTATTATCATTATTTTTTTTCCGTATATATTATTTTTTTAATTACTTTTTTTTATATTTTTCATTTCTTTGTACTAGAAAGTTAAAATTCCTAGACCGGTTTTCAGGGTGTTACAGTGTTCCTGATGATGTTCATGTTATTGTCACTGATGTTGTTCCCCTATTTGTTGTTACCGATGAGGATGACTATCACCAAGACTACTCAATCACGAGGAGATGTTTATGTTTGATATTTCTCTTTATGTTTTAGTCCTATTTAGGGTGATTTTTATTTTATCGACACATGATGACATGTCGAGCATTAAGTAGAAAAGTACTCTCTTGTCACATTTTGTCTCACTTCAGTTTATAATTTTTAACTAAAACATTTCTTATTGAATTTATGTAAATATTGGCTTTAAATAAAAACTAAAAAATAATATATTTAAAAATAACATAAAATATTTTATAAAAAAGAGATTTGAAGACTATTATTTTTTAAGAAAATGATAGACGAGAGCATTTAAAGAAAGAATACCTAATTTGACTCTGTAAATAATGGATAAGACAAACATAACGAGATGATTGACTAATTTATAAAATTAAAGATTCTATTTATTGGATAAATATTAAATTGAAAATAACCAGTAGCATCAACTTTTTATATTTTTAAATTATACTCCGTATTATTATAATATTATCACTAATGGTAACAAATATGTGTCTCCATCCTCTGCCCCAAGCTTAATTTAATTATTATTGTACTCACAAACTCTCGTTTCTTTATGTGTTTTCATTGATTATTTAATAAAATAAAAAAAATATTCCCATCACATCTTACTTTGTAAAACTTTTTACTATTTTTTATTATGTAAATTGTACTACCGTTATTCCAAAGTAATGATATAGTGTGATTGTTTTTTAGAAAAAAGCTAGGGGTACACCAAAATTGTATACCATTTGTCCTCCACCTCCTTCTCCACCATATAAATAGGCAAAAAATTAAAAATAAATACTTAATTAAAAATCAAATAAATATATATATGTGGTGGAGAAGAAAGTGGGGAACAAATGATATATCCCTAGCATTGCTCCTTTTTTAGTCAAATTAAGAAAAACTACACTACAAGAAAACTGCCGATCTGCAACGGAAAAATTCCGTGGCAGAATTTGAAATTCCGTGGCAGATTTCCATTCTGCAACGGATCTGCAACGAAATTTTTCCGTCGCAGAAAAGTTGTGGCAGATTTAAAATCTGCGACGGAATTGAAATTCCGTAGCAGATCTGCGACGGAACTGCAACGGAAGTTTCCTTTTTTTATCAAGCCAAATCTGCGACGGAATTAAATAACCGTTGCTGATCTGCGACAGAATTAGCAACGGACAAGTCCGTCGCAGATCTGCGACAGAAATAGCGACGGTGGTTCCGTCGCAGATAACCTGAACACAGAACCATAATTTTCCTGTTTTTAGGCAATAGCTACTAAAATGGGGGGCAAAACACATTCAATTTTCACACACATAATTCTAAACAAGATTTCAACACCCAAATTGATAATTCAAAGCTAGATTAATAAAAACTTCATGTGCAAATGTAACATAATTCATTATATTTTAACAATGAATATTAAAGTGTCAATGTTCAAAATGGAGGAAGCAAAGGTCATAAAGGTCTCAACATATCCCGGCTGCCCTGCCCCTCCCGTTCCATCATCATCGCCTCATCGAGGAAGGTTACCACCATATAGCTTCCTTAGTGAATCCAATGCAGATAATTCTTAAGGTATAATTATCTGTTGTCTTGACATCAACATGTGCCTCGATCAGGGACTGCCATTTCTTCACCAGTGACCTCAGCTTATCTGTAGTGAAATCCATCCCCTGCCAATTTATGAAATGTCAATAATCAATACATTAGATTAGATATAGGCTGGGAAATCAAGGTGTAATGCCACTTAAGACACATACCCAGAAGTTGGTAAGGACAGATTTTCCTTGAACATCCTCCGCTCTGAGACGGATCTTTCTATAGGTCTTCTCATCATCTTGGAGATCAGCCATAGAAACCTCAAAGACACGGTGTTTGAGCCCTTCTGAAGCAATCTGATTTGATTGAATGTCAATAAAAAAACATCAAGTTACACACAATTACACAACTTTAAATCCATCTCTTAAGATTAAGAACTTAATAGTGACTTCAAATACCAAATTACGGAACAGGGACTAGAGTTTAACCCATTCATAATGCATAGTCAATAAACATATACCACTATATACTTTGAAAAACTATCTCATATGATTGTGATACTCAGTTAATGTGTGGTCAAGAAAGGAATACAAACAAATTACTTAACACCTTGAAACATGGGATTTAGCATAAGACTAAATGCTGATTAGAAATTGAAACTACTCATAAACAAATTAAAAAAATCATTAAAAAACCCAGTGATGGGTTAAAAAAAAAACATGCTGCTAAAAAATTAATCAATTCAAAAACTCACCTTAGTTCCTTGAGTTCGGGTAACAAGTGTTTTCCCCACATTTCTGATTTTGAAAACTGCTGGAGCCTTGATATCATACCAGTCCTTCTTGGAAAACGGATCGGCGCTGCAAACAAATCCAGATAATTATAACAACAACAACAACAATAAAAAAGAAGCTTGATTTTTCACAAAAAACTAATACAATTTTTACCCAATTTCATGTCAATTTCAACTCATATTCACACAATTTAAACAAAATTTCACCAAAAATACACTCAATTCCACACAAACAAATTCAATTTCACCAAAAATTACAATAATAATAAATTGTGTAAAACTAAACAAAAATACCTTACCTTGAAATTCATGGCAAAGAGGACCGGCGGGGAAGACTGGCGGTCGAGTGGCGGCGGTGGCGAGTGGTGGTGAGGGAACTCGGTCGAGGGCGGCGGCGGCGAGAGCGTCGAGGGCTGGCGCGGCGCAGCGAGGGAGAGGGCTGGCGCGGCTAGAAGGCTGACGGTCGAGGGATCTGGCGCGGCGTGGGCTAACACTGGCGGCGGCGGCGGCGAGGGCGGTGAGGACGACGGAGAGGGAAGGCCCGGCTGAACGGCTGACGAGGGTTGAGGGATAGGCTTGAACTGATTTTGATTTTGCGTTGTGAGATTGAGATCTGATTTTAATTAAACCCCTGCCACGGAATGGATTCAGTCGCGGATTCTGTTGCTGCGACGGAATAATAAAACCGTAGCAGATTGTCTGTGCAACAATTGACCATCTTGGACGTTTTCAAATTTGCGACAGAACCCTATTTTCCGTGGCAGATAATTTTCATTTTTCATGAATTATTTGTCCGTCGCAGATTTGTTGCAGATCTGCTACGGAAACAAGTCCGTAGCATATTTCCGTTGCAAACTAGACAAATTCTTGTAGTGCTAGTATCACACCCGTGCGTTGCACGGCTCCATTTATATTATTAAATTATATTCGGATTATTATTGAAGAATAGAAATTAATATATAATAGAATATAAAGTTCACTAAAGGATTGAATATGAAAATTTTATCTCTATCAGAGTGGAATATGTAATACTAATATTGATAAGAATTACACTTATTTTCCAATCTCATAAAAAATGTGAAACTTATTTTTTACTTATTGAACATCTTTTGAATGGGTTTAAATTTTTTTAAATGGATGAGATATTGCTCATTATTAAATCTTATTTTGGTTGTCCTTACAAAACAATCGTTATTCAAGACTATTTGAACTCTTACCATTTATAGATAAGTATTTTTTAATTTTTCATTCTAGTTTATTTAATCAATTGATTTATTTTCATTTAAAAATATGTACAAAAATATAATATGTTGAGTATTTATTTCTTGCCATTTTTAGATGAGTGTTTTTATGATAAAACATATATTTCATCCCTTGATTTATTTTCATTTATACTAAAATTATACTAAAATATACTATGTTGAATATTTTCTTCTTGCCATTTTTAGATGATATTTTTATACTAATAATTAATTTTTACTCGTTGATTTATTAACATTTATATTAAAATTAACTATGTTGAATATTTATTTCTGAATATTTTCCAAAAATAAACCCTATTGCAAAGCTATTTACTAAACTATTTTTAAAAATATATACTAAAGAAAAGTTTGAGAAAAAAAGCCAATAAGCACATGCACAACCAAATACCCCCATAATAAAAAGTTCATATATAACAAATTTTTCTAAGATAAATCTAGACCTCTGAATATATAATAAAAAGCATATATATAATGAAAAATAAAAATACAAATAATATTATTCATTTCCCTTCTAGAAATTTTTGACCGTGACTAATGAAAATATTTATATTTATTTATTAATTAAAATTCATATATAACAAAATTTTCCTATAATAAATCTAGACCATCCCTAAAAACTTTGACCGGGATTAATAAAAGTATTTATATTTATTTAATTATAAAAGTCTATATAGTATATACAACAAATTTTCTTAAAATAATTCTAGGCAACAGCTAAAACTTTTGATCATTATAAATAGAAATATTTATATTTATTTAATTATTTATTAAAGTCCACGTGTAACAAATTTTTTTTAAAAAAAATTTAGACCACCCGCTGCAATTAAATGATGATGGTGTTAATCTCAATATATAATAAGCTCTTTATATTAGAAAAAATCCATATATAACAAATTTTCCTAAGATAAATCCAAACGTCTCCATATATAATAAAAAGCATATCTATGATTAAAAAAATATAAATAATATTATGCATTTCCCTCCTAGAACCTTTGAGCGTGATTGATAAAAATATTTATATTTATTAATTTATTTATTAAAATTCATATATAACAACTTTTCCTAAAATAAATCTAACCATCCCTAGAAACTTTGACCTTGACTAATAAAAATATTTATATTTATTTATTAAAGACCATTTATAATAAACTTTTCTAAAATATATCTAGATGCACACCTATAAATTTCAACCGTGATTAATAATAATATTTATATTTATTTATTAATTAAATTATAAAGTCCACATATAACAAATTTTCCTAAAATAAGTCTAGACCTCTCCATATATAATAAAAAGTATAAACACGTCTTTATTAAAGTCCATATATAAAAATTTTTCCTAAAATAAATCTAGACCAACCCCTAGAAACTTTGAAAATAATTAATATATAGAAAATATTTATATTTATTTATTAAAGCCCATATATAAAACAATTTCCCAAAATAAATCTAGACCACCCCTAGAAATTTGACTGTGATTAATAATAATATTTATGTTTATACTTATTTATTAAATTCCATATAAAATATTATGTTCTTCCCTAAAATATATCTAAACCTCTCCATATATAATAAAAAGTCAACACATCCATGGGCGGGAAAACTGGTCAAAGATTTCACCTCTTTTTAAAAAAAGTATAGATAACCAAGAGGACCGGGTCTGCCTTACCCCACCCCCACTCACCCACGCAGGCCACAATGGAGCACCCGCTTGTGTTTGTTATATATAGGGAGACTTCCCGCAGCGCCCGTTTTCCTATCGCCACCCCTTATGGCGGAGAATTCTACCAGAGCCACCCCATCAGCCACGGTAGCCGCCGCCTCGAGTTCAAATTTAGAGACCAGCAAGGCGGAAAGGCACGTCTGGTTGATGAAATGCCCTCCTATCGTCTCCCGTGTCTTACAGCAGCATCATTCTACTCCGCCTTCCATCTCCACCGACAATATCTCTCCTTCTGATCGGCCCGTCGCCAAAGTCATCGTCGCCGTCGATCCTCTCCTTCCCAACGATGACTTCGCTTCCACTCAGGTTACCACTCAACATTCGCATTACTCTCCATGTTACCTTTTTTTGTTTTGTGCCCTGGCAAAAAGTTTGCAATTAGGGATTTTTTTTCAAACTCTCCTTGCCTGATTTTTATCTAATCTCTTATATTAAAATGCGCGCTTTGTGTATTCACCATCTACTATGCCTTTGTATTGATTCTTGATTGCATTGCATCAATTCGACTATAAATGGCCTTGTTACCCTAGCTGTATGTGTATGGTGGGAATAACACCATGGAGATCTTCTGGTCGATGAAATGACCTTATTTTTTATTTTGTTTTCTGGTCGAGTATAAATTAGAGTATTCTTTGTACGCCAAAATCTTATTTGTGCTATTATAATGTTTGTAGTACTGCCCCTTTTTCCTAAATTAATTGTTTGTATGATGACTTCTAGTTTACTATGGAGTTGGCTGGTAGCGAACCTGGAAACATACCCAAATGCTATTCCATGGGAATGTCAACAGAATTTATCCCAATGTCCATATTTTCTGAATCAGGGCAGGGTATGTCTCTAATGATTTGTGAAATATGCTCTTTTGCACTTTGATGAACTTCAATATGCTTGGCTTAGACCGACTAGTGTAATGGTGTCACCCACCTGTTAAGTGTGGGAGGTATTGTGTTCAAGTCCCACCTCCCCTCTCTTCCCTTTCCCTTCCAAGTTCCTTCTAGGCATGCCTTTGTCCAAAAAATAAAAAGTTCAGTATGCTTAATCATAAGCTTCCATATTTAAAACTATGTGACAATTTTCAAACAGAGAATGCATCTTAACTTTGTACTTTGCTTATAAAGTCTTGTTACTCATTCAAAATTATAAAATGTTAACTCTAAGAGGTGAGGTCAGGTAGGTAATGACCTCTATCTAACCTTTTGCCTCATATGGGTTGTCAAAAAATGAAGGCAAAGTGGGGTTATATTTGTTAGGGAAGGAATGTTGGAGGTAAGGATTTTTCCAAAATTGCAACATCCAAGCGCGGTAATCGATCTGAGGACTCCCTCTCCAAAATACCAATTCATTGAACTCATTTCAGTAGCAACACAGGAGGCATGTTAATAAAAACAGAATTGCTGGACGACGGGAGTTGGAGAAGATTATCAGATGAGAAGACTCATGTTGTGATAGAGAAGAAGGTTTGGGATGGTGTTTTGGGAGCTAGCCTTGTGGATGGAAGAGGAGGCTGAGAAGGGGACAGCGCATGGTTGAAGAGGACGATCAACGAGTTTAGGATTTTTCTATTTTTATGTTGAGGGGTCTTTAGGTAAAAGTGTGTTATTGCATTCATTCTTGTAGTTTATCCAAACAACAATTTAGAATTACCTAACTCATAATTAACCAAGCACATTTTTTGACATAATAGCACACACTATTTAGTGTTGTATACCCTCACAGCCTCACTGACCTACCTAATATAACTACATCCACCTGATGCCAAACGATGCCCAAAACAGAGCAGAAGCAACAAAACAATCTTGCTTATGTGATTCAGGAGCTTAAATGCCAAGTATCCGGGGGTTATGGTGAATAATATCCTGAAAAAAGAGCATCATCCGAGCATTTGCATGCATTGCATCTGTATTGGCTTCTTATCTGAATCTTTAAGATTAAATTGGGCAGATAGGGGGTAAAATGAAGAGTATTCACTGAAAATCAACAAGGAAGAAATATACTTGTTTACCGGTCAGATAGGACAGTTATGAGTTTTATCTCCTCTGTAGGAAGGCTTTCTGTGGAAGGGAAAATCTATCACAAGTTTGATATGAAGCCTCACAATGAAAACATTGAAAGCTATGGGAAACTATGCCGTGAAAGGACAAACAAATATGTAAAAAAAGATAGACAGATACAGGTAAAATCTTATTTTTTCTCTTTCCTTGTGTGGGCTACTTCTTTATCTTTACTTGATAAAAATCTGGAGTGATATCAATTCTTTTGCAGGTTATTGACAATGATAATGGAAAGCATATGAGGCCCATGCCATGGGTTTTTTCTTCAAAGCCTTCAGGATCTGCAGCAGTAATCCACATCATCTGCTTATCTCACTTGGATAAATTTATCTATTTGATTTATGAGAAATGAGTGCTGAATCTATATTTGCAAATAGATGCCAGTGCCATTAATGCATCTGCCTGTTATCACTTTCTATTTTCTTATTTAATACTTCCTTCATTCCTAAATAACTATCTATTATGACTTTCAAGATATATTAAAAACCAAATGAATGTAGACATAAAGTAGTTTGTCCACATTCATTCAAAATCTATTGATAGACAGTTATTTAGGAATGGGGGGAGCATAAAACAAAGAGAAAGAGAGAATGCCTGTGTTCCAGATTTATACTGTAGGAAAATTAGAGCTGCCTGACGTTTATATATTATTAGGAAAAGAAGAAGGCGTCTGCAAAAGGATCAGAGCTGAAGAGAACAAGAAGAGACCGTGGCGAGATGGAAGAAATCATGTTTAAACTGTTTGAGAGGCAACCAAACTGGACACTAAAACAACTGATTCAAGAGACAGATCAACCAGAGGTTTCGTTATCATATTTTCCAGTCTTTTTCGTTGTGAATGCAACTCCTATAACCACTTGTAGTACCACCAATGTGAGACTGATCAACCAGATCACATGCTTTTCTTTTCTTTTTGTTTTTGTGTGTGGTGTATCTGCAGCAATTTGTGAAAGACATGCTGAAACTGCTGTGTGTTTACAACAATAAAGGGACGAACCAGGGGAGTTACGAGCTCAAGCCGGAGTACAAAAAATCTGAAGATTTGGCAGACTAATGAATGTGTCATCTCACCCATCCTCTCCTCCTCAGATGATCATAGACTTACAGATTGTTTGGTTTATTCATCAACGCATAACATTTTTGCAGCTGAAGTTGGATTGCTTTTGTAAATAAACTGAATTCTTGTGATGACCAGTAATCACAACATCAATCAATTCATTTACCTTATCTGAAGCCTGACATGGCTGTCTTCTACAAGTGTTGTAAAAAATGATGCTTTATCTATATTCCTTGTAAAATTAGCTGGTCAAGTACACAAATTTTAAATGCACTTCTCCGTTATTAAAATTCACCTGTTTTTGCAAACCGTGTTAAAATGAGTTTTTCATCTCTTATTTGGTTTTATTAAATATGCTTTTCATAGTTGTTTTCCTTCTCTGTACAAATTTCAACCATAGGAATTGGAAGGGATCTTTGTACATTTTCACTGCTCTCCTCCGACCATACTTCAATTGTTACGAGTGTTTGTAAAATTAGCCAATACACTTCACAACTCATTTATTTAAACCAGAACCGAGAGAGCAAAGAGGGAGGGACAAAAATGGAAGAGGAAGGCACATTATTGATGTATTCCATCATCAAATACAACAAAAATACAAAAGCTGCTGGCATCATATATTTAAAATTGATGATAATCTAAAACAAAAACCAAAAAAAATAATGACCCAACCAACCTAAGAAATCTGTTTTTTTTCAGACTGCTTCCCTATCATTTTCTCTGATCAATCAAATTACAAAAAAAAAACTATTGTACACCGCGGCAAACAAAAGGTGAGTTTGCCACGGAGGGAGGGGATGCTCTGCTCAGAGTGAGTTTGTGTCCCCTCCCTCTGCAATAATACACTGCTGCTAAAACTACTACAACCTTCCTATTTCAGCCTTACTTTCCATCGGCTGCCCTCCAAAACGCTCGGTCATGGCGTAGGGCACCTTCTTTATTGCAGCAACCACAGCAGGGTCTGGGGCACCCCCACTGCACTGCACTGCCCCTGCTCCCACAAGAATGCCTCCTCTCCCTACAACATTAATGCCCATCCTGCCCTGCTGCTGCTGCTGCACACCTGACACTACCTCCGGCGTCATATCTAGACCACCCCCAAAATGCTGCCTTTCTCTGTTTTTGTGCGCCTGATAATCTGCTGCTACACCGTTGAGGTTGGTAGGGAAAATAGGCACACTGCTCAGACCCCGTTCGGGCAGTTGTTCCATTTGGGCAGTTGTTGATGATGGCGGCATTGGGTAACTTCCAAATGCAGCAGGATACTTGGCCAACAGGATGGCAGCAGCTTCAGGGGGCAGGGCAGAGAACCCAGTTGGTTTCCTGTTCCTGTCCCCCCAATAACCGTAGGTCAACAGAAGATGGTTCTCAGAGGAGCTACAAATGTTGCCCAGAGGAGAAGAAACACCATCTGCTGACTTGCTGCTGCTGTCTTTAAGAGTGCTCCCTTCCTCCTTCAGTTGTGTGCTGCTGCTACAACTTGAGTTCTGTCTAGATGTGGGTGGTTTGCTCAGAATTTGACCAAACAACTTAAAATCGCCATTCTTGCATGCTTTTTCCATTTCTAAAGAACTATCATGATTTGAACTGCTGCTACACTTCTGAAGAATGCAACCTGAAGTTGAGAGCCTGCCGGATCTCCAACTATTTTTCGGGGCTCCATTCTCTTTTACAGTCGTTGACTCGATCAACCTGTTGCAATCCCGGCGAATTACATCTGAAATCTGCTTCTCCGCAATCAAGGATGATTCCGAAATCATCATATCACCACCAACAGGCTTGGAGGAATTGAGATTTGCCAACTTCCTATTAACATTAGAACAACACTCAGAAGCAATTATAATAGTCGAATCATGAGAAGACACTGATTGAATAGGAACAGAACTATTGCTCCCCTGCATAGAGCTGCTGACATCAGATTTCATCCTAGTTTCTGATTCATCAGAATCAGCAGCCTTGGTGAGAAAATCATCCATTCTGGAACCAGAGTTGGTGACATCATCACACCCAGCTAGCTGGACCTCACAATTATCATTCAAACTGCATTCGGGTAGTGGATTCCCCTCAGTTGAATTCTGGACAGCATCTACAACTCCATCAGTAGCATCAGAAGAAATTTTCACGGGCAGACAATCCTTGTCAGTATCAACTCCGTCACCTTCTCTGCAAGAGGGTGATGATATAAAACTTCCATCGCACAGCATATTTTTGTCAGTCATGTTTTCAACATCCCCTGCATATTCCAACTCCCGCTTGTCCACATCACAAACATTAGAACCCAGATCTCCATGTCCATTATCGTCAGGGCTGTTAAGGTCAGGCTTACTATCCCGGCCTACTGCTAAATCTGGCCCGGGACTCAGCTTCATCTTAAAGGGTTCGACATCGATACCTGCTTTCTCAATACATATGGAGGGCTCCATTTCAAGTACAGAGCAAGCACCCTCCGCATCATCACTTTTGTTGCCCCGATTGGCATCCCCTCCAACAGAACTGCTGGGTTGGATGCCAATGATTGCATCAAGTCCAAGACACTTCTTGGCCTTGCTAAAGAAGATCTTACACTGGTCCATAGATCTTGTTTTGACAAATCTAGAGATCATCATAAAATCCTTCCCATAGGATGAGACGGCCTGAATGAAGGTAAGCTTCTCCTCGTCGGTCCAATCACTATGATCCATCATCTCCTCACAACTTTCGTCAGAACATGTTTCTTCATCAGTGTTCTGTTGCATAACCTCGGGAGCCACAGGCAGCCTTATGGTTGAAGAATTCACTTTGTGGTGGTCAATAGAACTTGTAGTGCAGGAACTCATAGCTTCAGATGATAAGGAACCACATATTCCAGCCAACACATCAGCAGCCACCGTCTCTCTGTCACTGTTACATGCATCAACACTATTTGTCTGTTTGTTTTCACTTGTCACGCCAAGATGGTATTTAGGGGAACACATCTTAAATCTGATGCCATCATCAGCATTGGCTGCCATTGCTGACACTGCACCTAATATGTCAAGGGAAGCAGCATTTGGTTCGTAATTTGACCGTTTTCCGGATGCAACAAGGTAGGTAGATTTCCCTTGTTTTGCATAGCATGGTTTCATCTTGGTTTTCACAAAACAATCCGACTTGTGGTTTTTATAGTAGAATTCAATGCAGTCAGCTGTGGTTTTATGGTCAAGAAAAGATGCTATTCTTCCGAAGTCTTTCCCAAATGTGGCAAGTTTATCAATAAAAATTTCTCTCTCCTCTGATGTCCAAGGATTAATCATTGACCTCTCTTTTTCAGAATTGCAGGGGTCTTCCAGCAATGCATTATTTGAAATGAATCTTGAAAGCACCTTCTCCTTCTTGTCTAAAATCAAAGCTGGCATTCTCTCTGTACTCCTACAGGCCTTCACCTTGTTAGAATCTAAGAGCAATCTGCTTGTAAAATTTACCAAGTCCAGTGAAGGCACTGGGTTTAAACTCCCAACTGCAATACCATAAACATGAAAGCAAATGAAATTAGAAAAAAAAAACAAACACAGGACAGATGTTAAAGAAAAGTCCACATATTACTTAAGTTCTAAATCTGAACAGTCAAACCAGTCTGAATAATGTGCAAGCTATCAACTCAGAGAATCATCACCAACCATTTTTATCATGTAGATATAATCATGAAATAAATATAGCTTTACTGCTTTAGAATGAAATTTGAGGAATGTGAATGGACTTCAGAAAAAGTAGCATGTGTATTTGACAGTACACTGAACTGAGGATCAATACTCCAGGATTTGCATACGAACAATTTTGTACTAGGAATATATGAGAACGCAAAAAAGAATATGTTGGGGGAGTACGGATGAGAGCAAAGTTTGGTAGACGGAGACCAAACAGTGTATAAGGAGACTGATGACAAAGCACCACAGGTAGACCAAGAACACATGGAAGATAGACACAGAATACCAGAGAGTGGATATAATTCTGCTTGCAAAAGATGGCCAAAAGTGATAGAAAAGGTTTACCATCGCAATTTCAAAGTGCAAAAAAACCAATGAACAGGCATCCAGAATTATGGACCAAAAGTTTAAATTAGATGGCCTCATGGCCCAATTGAAGATTTATCATGATGGCAATGCTCATTTTGAGTCACTAAAGCATCTTGAGATCTAATGCAACATCCAGGGGAACCAAATTCCTTTTACAATAAAACAATTAATCACAAACACTTCATAAAACACAGTTAGGGAACAGAATTGAATACAGATCACTTTTATCAAGCAGTAGAGCAGCAATCTTCGGAGTGCAGTTAATTTTCCCTACAAAGCAAGGTAAATGTGATGATGCTATATATACATAGAAATATAAAATAACTGGACCTTAGGATCAACCAACCTTCGAGCATGATTTATTCAATCAGAAATTGTTACACACAAAGAGAGACAAAAGAAAAATGATATGTGCTCAACGAAGTTTGTTAGTGTCCTGCAATGGATACAAATCACGCTATTCAATTTGATTCCGGATTGTTTGTATTGGAAATGGAAAAGATTCGGGTGTGTACCGCAGGAGTTGGTCTGATTACATATCATTAAGAGATGTGAAACAGTTTCTGACTCCCTGCTGCCCATTTGACCTCTGGGTTCTCTTCTGTGAAGCTGCATTTTCTGCATCTCCCGCACCCTATGTTGTCTTCCAAATAAACACTTGAGTGTCCGCTTCCACCCAATCTCCTCTCTTGTAGTGCCTCGCTACTTCCATGGTATTTTGGACTTGGGTATTAGTGGATGGACTTAATTTAATGTTTATTACTTCTTCAATAATGCGCTGAAACTCAAGTACTAGATTGTAGTAGTTTGAAAATTTTATCCGTGCTCTAGGTATGACTATCGTTATCCAACTCACTAAACATATGCTTCTGAACTGTATATAGGAATCAGATCATGATTCAAAACCCAAAAATCCATCAAATGATCGGCACTTCAGAAACTATGTTGGTGTGCATCAATCAGTTGTGCCTTGTATAAAGTTTAACTAATCTTTAATTCCATTGAGCAACCCCATCCTAAGGCGTGAGCTGATTAAGTACAAAAAACACTGTCTTCATGAATACTGTACTATGTTTGTATCATTAATAAATACCCAATCAAACAATTAGGACTCCATCTTAAAATAATTTTGAAGATATAAAATAAAAGCTTCAGGATAATTGACATACATTGAAATACAATAAAGAAGAAGCTTACCAGCAGAGGGTCGTGAGCGAGAAGAGTGCCGGTGCTTATGATGGCCTACCAGTACAGGACGTAGGCTCAGATCAA